GATCATCTTTTTGGATACAAGGAAGTTTCAGCTCAGAGGGATTAATTTACCCAAAACAAATCCAATGGAGACTTTATGTGGGCTCCTTCCACTGCATCATGTTGTCCCTCCAATCTAAAATTTTGTTTTTTCACTAGCTGCTGTCTGCAGTGACCCTTCAAACCCTGTTCTTGATTAAATTGTGTTTTTGAGCTCTCCTCTATGAGTGTTTTCCACCAAGGGTTCATCTCACAGTGTCTTCAGATCTACCAAACACTCCCTACATCTGACACCCATCAGACCTAGGTTTATCTCCTTTATTTTCATTGAACCAAAAGGGATTCATATAATAAATCTTTTGTTTCTGTGACTTTACTCTTTTTAAGTTCAGTGATCCTTTGGCTTCTGTTGAGATACTTTGGGGTGTGTATTTTACCATCACCTTTTCCATGGGCAAAACTGTGCCATTTTTACTGATTGTGCCTCAGTTGGAAGTAAGCATTCAGCTTTAATTAACTGAGAGCAAAAAACTGGTGCAGGGCCCAGCAGTCTTCAACACCACTTCTGAATGATGACTATGACGCTCGGATTTAAACACTGTGATGAGGAAGTAGCAAATGCTGCCATGTTTTCTATTGTTCTTTTGTTGTTCCTTGCAGGAAAGGTGAGACTTAAGTGAAACTTAAAGGTGGAAGAAGAATTAAGTCCTTCCATGGTTTACAGATACCTTTTGAAATTAGCTTGAATTACTAGAAAGTTAAAAGTTACACCAACATACAAGTTGGAGTGTTACAATACAAATAGGACTGTATTTTATAATAATAAAATATTACTAATTTATAGGTGTCATTTTACAATAAGTAGTGTTGTATTATTATTATAATTATTAATATAGGTGTTAATTAGTATTACTAATTTATTAAATTTATTAAATTACTATTATAAATTTATAGGAGTATTACTAATTTATAGGTATTATTTTACAATAATTATTATTACTAATGATATAAACAAAGCTTGATATGATGGGCTTTTAAAAAAATTACTCCCAGCTGGGTGCAGCGGCTCATGTCTGTAATCCCGGTACTTTGGGAGGCCAAGGCAGGTAGATCACCTGAGGTCAGAAGTTCAAGACCAGCTTGGCCAACATGGTGAAACACCGTCTCTACTAAAAAGATACAAAAATTAGCCAAGTGTGGTGGCATGTGTTTGTAATCCTAGCTACTTAGGAGGCTGAGAAGGAAGAATTGCTGGAACCCAGGGATTGCAGTGAGCCGAGATCGTGCCACTGCAATCCAGCCTGGGCGACAAAATGAGACTGTCTCCAAAAAAAGGTTAAAAAAAATTTACTCCCTCCTGAGTAGATTGGCATCTGAAGTGTTTTTAAACAGTTGCCAACATTTTAATGCATATTCTAATCACATGATTGACTGTCAATATGTTCCTCATGTGAAAAAAGTTTACTTGAGCTGAGTGTTCATTATCTTCACTTTAGACAATCTTAACAAGAAAAAAAGTTTTAAAAAATCTTGGCAAGAATGTGGACTCCTTGCCTTATGTAAGCTGGCTTACTTCCCACTGCCTGTGGGGAGAGCAGAAAAAGGAAGGGAGAAAAATGGGGGTGCTAAACCTCTGCCCACGACTCCAAATGGAAAGAGGGAGGAATCCATCATGCTTATAAGCCAGTGAAAGAAATGAACAACCATATGCATTCTATGGCCACAATTTTTGCCCTTCCTGCTCCCATGCTTCTGATGACTTGCTCATCTTTAATCCCCAACTGCTCTTCAAGAAACAGTTGCAGTTTATCCTGATGAGCAGGAACTGGGGTACTGCCATGTAGCCTTCATAGTCAAGAAATGAGACTCAGGACCTGGCTACCTTTTGGAATTTCATTTCTGACTTTGACATTAATATGTCCCTTGGACATGGGAAACTAGCAGGATATAGTTAGGTATATAAAAGATTCTGTAAGACCCAGGGAACCACAAGGAATATGTTGTATGAATTCACCTGAATGACTAAATCCCTCAGCTTCCTACTTCCTGGAGAGGATGTCTTGGCAGTAGCAGGGATCTTGGCCGGGGACATTTGTTGTTGTTGTTATTGGTTTTAAGTTTGAGTTTTATTGTTTCCTCTTCATATTTTACTAAATTCCTAAATTGTGTTTTCAGCGTTCTTCCCTTTTCCTTATCTTAGAGGAAAAGGAACGTTGGAAGTAGAGGGCTTTGAAGAACTGGAAAGTAAGTGTTGACTTTCTTGTTCAATCTCCCTGACCCTGTAATTTTCACTGGCAAAGAGGAGAACATTCCAGGCAGAGTGAACTATGGAAGCAAAGAACTAAGGTACATGACATAGAAAGAATGGTGGAAATAAAGCTCAAAAAGCTCGTTTGGAGACAAATTGTGAAGGTCTGGAATGCCATAATAGTTGGAGTTTGGACTTTGTTCCCTGGGCAATAGGAAACCCCAAATGCTTCCAGAGACAAGAGACATGGTCATATTTATTTGTTAAGTAAATGACTTTGGTATCAATGTAGAGGATGGATTGGGAAGGAGTCCAGGATACCAGTTAGAAGGCAGTTTAAACAGTTTAGGGATCTGATGGTCCAAATTAAGGCAGTTTGGGTATAAATGGGTCATACTGGAAATAATTATGTCAGAGAAGGTATTCATGAAACTTAGTCATATAAAGGGCAGAAAGATAACTTAGGGAAAAAATGATCTAAATCATTGTAAGCCTGAGATTAAAAGGGTACCATTAATAAAGAAGGAATTCTTGGGGGAGATATTTAGTAGAGTTTGTGTTAAATCTGTTGAATTGGAAGTGTTCCTGTGACATCTAAATGACAGAGTCCAGAGAGCTGGAATGTTGGGGTTAGAGCTCAGAAAAAGGGTTGGGGGACTAAAGATAAATATTTGGAAGTCTTCAGCATAGTCAAGGTAGGTGAAATTTCAGAAGTGGGTAAGGTTGCCTATAGAGAGAGAGTATAGGATGGAAGAGGAGACAGCTTAGGACAGAACCTTGTAGTTGAGGAGTTGCCAGAAAAGAGGCTGAGAAAGCCATCTGAGATAGAAGGACCACACTGCAGAAGCTAATGAAGGAAGTGGCAATTGTTCAGAAAGACCATTTAAAGGAAATACTAAGTTTCGATTTTAAAGAAGTTACTAGGTGCCTTCTGAAAAGGCATTTCCAAGGAATGAGAAACAGGAATGAAATCCTAGTGGTTGGGACTTGGGTAGGAGGCAAAGAGGTATAAGTAAGGTACAAAAACTGCTCTTGAGAAAGATTTTGTAGTGAAAGAAAGAGGAGAAATGTGGCTTGAAAGGAAGAAATTTCTATTTGTCTAGGTCATTGGTTTGCAAAGCACTTTTACATCCACAGGGTCACTTTATTCCCAGGGAAACTCTGGAAGGTAGGAAGGGCAAATATTTACACTCTTGGGAACAAACTCAGGTTAAAAAGAAGTTAAAAGGCTTGCCCAAAGTCAATTATAGCAAATAAGGGGAAGAATTGGATTTAGAATTCAGGTCATTTGACTCTTATTCCAATGATCTTTCTACTGTGCCCAAACAGAACATTTCTAAAGTGTTCACTCTATTTGGATATTGGATACTAGACAGCATCGGGCTCCTTGTTAAAGGGTTTTGACCTCATCTGGGATTAATGGCAAGTTGCTGGAAGGTTTTATGCCAGGGAATGCTATGTTTCAGTTAATGCCTGATGGAACAAATCTGGCAGTGAGGTGTAGGATGCATCAGCAGAACAGACACCTGGTGGTGGGGAGGGGTTAGAAAATGAGAACAATTAGCTTCAAACAGAAACACAACTTTTGATATGCATTCAATCACATGCTGAGAAAGTGATTTCCCTTCAGGTCTCCATACCCTATTCTGTTTGTATTTAGGAGAAGTTCTCAGTTTGTCAGTATATTTTTAACATGTTTCAAATACTCTCTCTCTCTTTTTTTTGAAACGGACCCAGGCTGGAGTGCAATGGCACGATCTCCACTCACCGCAACCACCACCTCCTTGTCCCCAAACAAGCTTTTTGAGCTTTATTTCCACCATTCTTTCCATGTCATGCATCTTAGTTCTTTGCTTCTGTAGTTCACCCTGCCTGGAATGTTCTTCTTCTCCTCTTTACCAGTGAAAATTACAGTCAGGGACACTGAACAAGAAAGGTCAATACTTATTTTCCAGTTCTCCTTCGGCGCCCTCTACTTCCAACATTCCTTTTCCTTTAAGATAAAGGAAAAGGGAAGAACACTGAAAACACAATTTAGGAATTTAGTAAAATATGAAAAGGAAACAATAAAACTCAAACTTAAACCTCCCGAGTAGCTGGGATTACAGGCATGCACCATCACACCTGGCTAATTTTTGTATTTTTAGTAGAGACAGGGTTTCATCATGTTGGCCAGGCTGGTCTTGAACTCCTGACCTCAAGTGATCTGCCTGCCATCACCTTCCAAAGTTCTGGGATTACAGGCATGAGCCACCTCACCTGGCATTTTGACTACTCTCTAATCTCCCTTTTGAACAAAGAAAGAATAGGACTCAGGCTGAGAACATTTGTAAAAATTGCATGTTGCTAAAACTGAATTACATTGTTTTCTGTTCACTCTGTTTTTATGGTTACTTTCTACTTATGACAAGTAGGATTGATTTATCATTTATTGTAATTACAGAAAGTTTACTGTACATCTTAGTAAAAAAGTCAAATTAAGGAAAAATATACCTAAGACAAGTGGTATGCCTCTATGGAGAAATTATATAAGTGTGTATTCTAATGACTAGAGTTTGGGAAATTATGGTCTTTGAGAGTATTGCAATAGGAGTAAGGGTTCAGACCAGAGTGGGGTGTTGGCAATAGGTAACGACAAGAAAAGAAGGCTCTGATAGATGTTTTAAGAGAGTTAAAGGAGAGGGAAACTTGTTTCTTTGAGGGTATTTTCTGCCTCATTTCTCAGAATGGTTTTGACCGTAACAGTGAAAAATAAAAAGGTCTTATATAGTAGAAGGAATTTATTACCTCATATATCAAGAAGCCCTGAGGCAGGGTGGCTTCAGGAATGCTTAAGTGAGTAGCTCATTGACATCACTAAGCACTTTGCTTCCATCGATCTTCCAGCCTCACCAAAAAGGGTTGTCCTCATGACTTCAAGACAGCTGATATGGTGCCAGGAATCTCATTATGGATATACGGTGTTCTCACTGCAAGAATAAGATATCTCTTCTTGAGCTGAAGAGTGGGGGGTGAAGCAAACTTTCCCTGAAGGCACCTCCACCAAAATATTTTTCTTCAAGATTTGTTGGACAAAAATACATCACATATTCATGCATAAACCAATCACTGCAAAGGGGAATCAAATTACCATACCTAACATAACCTAATTAGGATTTATTCTCTGAGCTGGGGAGATCTTTTCCCTGAAGAATGGAGTTCTCAAGATAATAGGGGCTCTGCTAACAAATATGGTTGGTAGGCAGTCAACCATGTCTTCTACAGCTTTTATGGAGAGCTGCAGGTGTTCTCTGGATACCAGTGATTCTGAAATTCTTCAAATTCACCCTTGAACATAAGTGGCAAATTCTTGAGACTTGTGGTTTTATTTCTGAGAATGTTATTTAGCTCTTCTTTCCATGTGTTGGATTAAGGCAGAACGAAATACTTCTGTTGCAAAATCAACTTCTGGTTTAGTGATGCACATTGAGGGTGCAATGCGAAATGTCTGAGGAGACACCGGAAAATAAGAAAACAAATCATCAGAGAACCAAATATGACTTTGAGGAAATGCACTAAACTAAAAATCCAAAACCTTGTGTTTAGGACGTTTCTCGTGTTCCTCTTGGTTTGGCTCCTCCTCCCTCCCCAATGCTGGATCCAGGCCATTCACTCTCCAGTCTCCACACAAACCCTTGTACAATTTGGCTCTGCCCCTTTTCCTTTTTGTCATACATTTACCTCCTGTCCTTTCTACACCTTCACTGAAGTCCTAGGCCCCTCTCTATACTCCATTTCTGCCCAGGGTGACTTCCATGTCCATATGTGCAACCCAGCAAACTCGCTTCTCACTGCCCTTATTGCCATAACTCCCAGAATCTTTATGTCCACCCCTCTGCATCCATTCATACCCATGACCAATGCCACGAGTCTCCTTGTTGCCAGGAATAACTCAATTTCTGATCCCCACTACAGCTCTCCTTTTCATGAAAACTTCAGAATCCTCATTCACCCATTGTCTTCAGGTCTACTGCTCCACTCAGGTCTCCTCTTTCCTTTTCACCCAGCTCAGAACACAGAATTGACTGAAGTAGGCTCGCACTTGCTCCTTATTTTGCTTGCATTTCTACTCTTCTGCTGCACCCACACAGTCAATCCCAGCCCTAATAAAAGATTTTATTAAGTGGCTTTTCTCCAATCTAGATGGCTGAGAAGAGTTAGAGAAAAATCATGCAGCTAGGCTGAGCGATACACTAGATATTCAGGGTCTCCAACTTCTGTGGGTCCCTCCAACTTTTCTTGTTCACTGTCCTTTTTCAATCTAAACTTTCATCATTCCTCTCAATTTCCTTACTCAACTCCTGCATCTCTCCCTCTGTTTCATAGACAATCAGGCCTCATACTTCTCAGAAAATGGAAGCTGCTGGGCAAGATAAACTTGTTTGCTCTTACATCCATTGTTATAACCTTACCTGAAGGCTCAGAGAACAAGATGTATTTGCTGTTCAACTCCAAATTGTTCACCTATGCCCTTGACCCTGGATTCTCCCATCACCTTCACAGGAAACACCCCTTTAACTTCTCCTTAGCCTATAAACAAACAGGCTTAAAGCTCTCATAACCCCAATCTAGACCACACCAAATACAAATCTGTGTTGACCACCTTGTCCCCTATGGCTACCTCGCAAATGCTTTCTTCCTGCTTTTAGCCACAGCATTAAAAAGACCGGTTGGTGCTTATTGGCCATTATTTATCACTTTGCCCTTCCCCCATTCACATCTCAATTGGCTGCAGTCTGACTTCTGCTGCATCAACTACTCTACTAAAGTTACCTGCAAGTGTGGAATCCACTGGGGATCTTCCAGCCCTCATCCTCTGTGGCCTTCTCTGCACTTGACTCTGGAAATCCCCACCCCACTTCCTGAACCTCTCCCGTCTCTTTCTTCCATGACTTCACACTCTTGTTACTCTCTTCATACCTGTCCACGCTTTCTGCCTCTACCTGGGCAGTTTTTCCTTCTCCTGCCTTTTATTATTATTTATTATTTATTTATTTATTTGTTTTTGAGACAGAGTCTTGCTCCGTTGCCCAGGCTGGAGTGCAGTGGCACGATCTTGGCTCACTGCAACCTCCGCCTCCCGGGTTCACATGATTCTCCTGCCTCAGTGGACTCTCTCTTGTTCTTCATATCCACATTCTGTGCATTTTCCGGGATTATCCTCAGAATGTCTCCTCTATCTTTACTACCACAGTTGAAGTTCAAACAGCATCCTTGGCTCCCAGAGGGACTCCCTGTCTCCAGTCTTGTCCCCTTAGATTTGTCCTCCTCAGAGGACAGATTCTGAAATCAGACTGCCTGAGTTTGGATCCTGGTTCTGTCATTACTTAACCTCTCTGTGTGTCTTTTCCTTTATCTGTAAAATAAGGATAATAACAGTACTTGTTTTATAGGCTTGTTGGGAGCATTGAATGAGTCCGTTCATGCAAAGTGTTAGGACAGTACCTGACAAGCAGGAACGGCTTCATACCAGCTCCACTGACTACCTCAAGCCTTTGTGCCAGCCACATCTGTGTGGTGCGATGTGGTGTGCAAAATCAGTTATTTGTACTCTGCCATGTTTCATGCACAGTTTGGTTGTTTATCTCATTATTTAAGATTCTGCTAGCCAGAAAGCCTGGCCTGGAAGTCCCTTCTCTCTCCCCCTTGAATATCTTTTAAAAAATATTTATAGATGAGCTTACTACATTGTATTGTAATTTTCTATGTATTTGACTTTCTCTCCCACCAGCTCCAAGAAGGAAGGACCAGATCTTATTCATCACCATATTAGGTTGGCGCAAAAGTAATTACATTTTTTGCAATTAAAAAAAAAATCACAAAAACTGCAATTACTTTTACACCAACCTAAAGGTTTCAGTTTCCAGAATAACTTCTGTTGCTTAGCACATAACAAATTTTGCCAAATAACAAAGGAAGAGCTAAGCAAGTACACAAATATCTCATGTCTTTATAAATTGCATGTCTTAGGATTCATAATCATTAAATTATGCTATCTGATTTGTACAGAAAACTATTTATGACTAGGACTAGAAAAAAAATCACGGAACATATCCCAGTAAAAGTGCTTATTCTGGTTTTGTTGTTTGGGCTGGGAGAACTTTAAGTCTGTTTTGTTTAAAGGGGAAGTTGGGGAAAAGTTGAAGATGCAAGAAAACATGGGGATGTTTCCTTGAGTGAAGGTGGAGGGAGCTTGGAGAAACAAGCGCACAGATGGAAGATCTAGATTTGAACAGGAGAAATGTCTCATTTCTGGAACCTTCAGGGAAGGAGGTGCTATGATCTGGGCATTTGTGCCTCTACCCCTTGACTTTCTATGTTGGAACCCTAACTCCCAACGTGATGGTCTTGCAAAGTGGGGCCTTTGGGAAGTGATTAGGTCAGGAGGGCACAGCCCATGAAGGCCCAGGGAGTTCTCTTGCCCCTTCTGCCATATGAGGTCACAGCCGAAAGATGGCTGCCTAGAAAGAGCGCCCTCACCCGACACTGAACTTGCTGGCACCTTGATCTTGGACTTCTCTGCCTCCAGAACTATGAGGAATGAATTTCTATGATGTATAAGCCACCCAGTCTATGGCACTTTGGGACAGCAGGCTGGGGGGACTAACATAGGGGGAAAGAATAAATGTGGGGACCGACGAGTTTATATAGAGGTTTTGCCTGATAGTTTCAATTTTATCTGAGAAGTATGCAGCAAGAAGTAGGTATTTCAGTATCCACTGAAATTGTGAGAGGCAGGGATGGAGCAGGGAAACTGGGAAGGATGAGGCATGTTTAAAATGGGAAAGAAAGTTGACAAAGGACAGGATAAATTAGGGAGGAGCAGATGTTACCTTTTCTCTCTCTCTTTTTTTTTTTTTAAATTTATTTATTATTATTAAACTTCAAGTTGTAGGGTACATGTGCACAACGTGCAGGTTTGCTACATATGTATACTTGTGCCATGTTGGTGTGCTGCACCCATCAACTCGTCATTTACATCAGGTATAACTCCCAATGCAATCCCTCCCCCCTCCCCCCTCCCCATGATAGGCCCCGGTGTGTGATGTTCCCCTTCCCGAGTCCAAGTGATCTCATTGTTCAGTTCCCACCTACGAGTGAGAACATGCGGTGTTTGGTTTTCTGTTCTTGTGATAGTTTGCTGAGAATGATGGTTTCCAGCTGCATCCATGTCCCTACAAAGGACACAAACTCATCCTTTTTTATGGCTGCATAGTATTCCATGGTGTATATGTGCCACATTTTCTTAATCCAATCTGTCACTGATGGACATTTGGGTTGATTCCAAGTCTTTGCTATTGTGAATAGTGCTGCAATAAACATACGTGTGCATGTGTCTTTATAGCAGCATAATTTATAATCCTTTGGGTATATACCTAGTAATGGGATGGCTGGGTCATATGGTACATCTAGTTCTAGATCCTTGAGGAATCGCCATACTGTTTTCCATAATGGTTGAACTAGTTTACACTCCCACCAACAGTGTAAAAGTGTTCTCTTAAGTCTCTGCCCTGGAGCCCATTCCTGGGGAGGGGCCTGTTGCTGTGAGGGATTGAGGGGCAGCTCACTTCACTCACGGCAGCAGCAGCCCTCGGGCAGTGCGTGCGGGGCAAGCCAGGGTCCCCACTGTGGAGCTGGGCGTGGCTTTTCAAGGAAGGGAGTGAGGAGGGCTCCACTCGCTGAATCTCCCAGCCTAAGGGTGAGGGACACCAGCTGTGGCTGATTTTGAGTAAGGCATTGGGGGCTATGCCCAGGTGGTCCTCCATCTCTCCAACAGGCGTCACCGGGCCTGCCAATGCTGTCGGGTTGCTCCCGGCCACAGAGGCCACTAAGGCTTAGCAGGGTCACCAAGTCAGAACCTGGGGCTGAGCTAAGAACGGCCAGAATTGCTTTCACAGGGACTAGGATTAATTATACAGGAGACAAATTATTTATAGCATGACTGTGATGTTTCTTATCATCTGTACTGTAAGTTGTCTGCTTTGACCATCCTGTGTCTGCCTCTATCTTTACCACACAGCCGGGACTACCAAACCATTTTCACTCAGCGCTCCCTCGTGGCCCGATAGGTGTACTGTCCCCGCCTTTTTTTTTTTTTTTTTTTCAAACCAGAGCTTCATCCCTAGATGACATGCGGCTGGGTACCCCCACCCCGGCACAGTTGTGAAGAAACTGTGACCAGCACTAGGAAACCAGAGAGATTCCTACCTAGAGCGATAGGTAAAGACCAGTCTTTCTCTTACCTGAGAAAAAATGCCGCCTCTGCCAACGAGGAGCCCCATGTGCTTGCAGTCCTCATGGATCTGATTCACTTCTTCACGGGGAAGAGGTCGGCGGCTCATCTGTAAATATATTTTTAGAAAGCTTTCTATTTGGTGTTGGAATGGTTACAGGAATTATTTCCAAGAGAGGAAAAAGGAAAAACCCTCCAGCCATCAATGCCCCGCTTTCTTTCTCTCTCTCTCTCTTTCTCTCTGTCCTCTCCTTCCCCTGTAATTAAATAAAGTTGCTAATTGCTGAACCAGATTTTTGGAGGATGTTATTAAAAATGTTTGTTTTTAATCCCAATTCATCCCAAATTCCCAAAAGACAAAATGAAGTTCTGTGCGGATAGTCAGTGAATCTTAGCTTTGCTAATGGCTGCCTTGGGAGTCTGGTTTCTTAATAGCTAAATTTGGAGTCTGTTTTACGTGGAAATTTTCCTTAACTCTTCACTTTGTTTTGCCCATGGAAAGGGCTCATTTCAAAGGCCAGGAAATGGCTCAGAAGTTGCACAAAGGCACCAGCAGCCTGAGCTTTCCCTGGGCAGCGCGGTGGGACAGCTGAGGAGCTAATTTCCCTGCTTGTAGGACTTGCTGTTTCTCCCCCAAGACTGCATCCTCCAGGGTTAGGAAAGGTAAGTGCTTCCAGGAGCGGAGAGGCTGTTCAGATCCCCGGCCATCCAAAGCAGGTCCCCTCCCTGTGGGGTCAGACATTGAACCTTTCTGTGCATCTCCTGTCTTCCCAGTCGGTGAGTACAAATGTCTCCCTCTGACTTAGTCATGTTATACCTGACAGTATATCTGCATTACCTGTAAGGCTTTCAGACGACAGATATTTGGGCCTCATGCTAGGCCAATCGAATTAGAATGTTTGAAGTAGGGCTTAGGCATCTGCATTTTTAAAATGGTCCTCAGGTGCCAGGGCTAAGCCCTGCTCTAATTTTTCCACGATGAGCGCTGAGGCCTGTTGCTGCCACTGGTCTCTTGTTTCTCCGTAGCCCAGCCTCACTGAGCTTCTGCACCGGGCTGGCTCTCCGGTTTTAGATGCATAAAACATGAGCTCTGGGTCAGCCCTTGCGATCCTCGTGAGGTAGGCGGGGCCTCTCCAGTGTGCCCAGCTTCATTACATCCTCTGCACTTCCTACCCACCCTGGCTCTGGGCTTTGCCATCCACTTCCTTCTTCCCACCAACCCCAGATCCAACTCTTTCCCCAGTCCTCTATTTCTTGTAATAAGAAGGGACCTCCTAGAGAGATATGCTCATTTTGGTCTGTCTTAAAGCCTTAAGATAAGCAAAATACATATTCAAACTTTCAGACTATTGGATTAGAAAGGAACTGAGGGAGAGGGAAGGACTAGAATCTTCTCATTGACCCCAAAATGCTATCATGCATTCCTGCTTATGATTGATTGGAAAGGGTCAATGAAAATAATTTAGGGCTAAACTGTGAGAACTAGAAGGACATCAAATATGATTCGAGAGGCCAGAGGGACCAGAGAGTAATCTGGAGGGAAGGTTGGATTGGGAGTTCAGTTCTTTTGTTGTTGTTGTTGTTGTTTTGATTTTTGAGTCAGAGTCTCACTCTGTTGCCCAGGCTGCAGTGCAATCTCAGCTCACTGCAACCTCTGTCTCCTGGGCTCAAGTGATTCACCTGCCTCAGTCTCCCGAGTAAGTGGAATTACAGCCACCTGCCACCACACCTGGCTAATTTTTGTATTTTTAATAGAGATGGGGTTTCACTATGTTGGCCAGGCTGGTCTCGAACTCCTGACCTCAAGTGATCCACCTCAGCCTCCCAAAGTGCTGGGATTACAGGTGTGAGTCACCATGCCTGGGCCAACATGACAGTTTTGAATGGGCGGAGTCTGTGTGGCTTCACCCAACCTTGCTCTGGGCCAGCACCCTCTTGGCTCCCTTGCCCATTTTATTCCTCCCTGGCCTCAACTGCTATGGCTAATTGAACATCTTGTATGCCTTCTCCAGGGAAAAAAGCAGAGTCTGAAACTCTACTGAGGCTAAAGCCATAGCGCAACCTGCTGAGGCCCTTGTGCCCATGCCTATGCCCCAACTACTTGATAATGAAGTGGGCATGCTAGTAATTCAACTTCTTGATGAGTGTATAATGGAGCGTCATGTTTATCTCTTTTGGTGAATGTATATTTAAAGAGTTATAAACTTAATATTTGAAAATAATTCAAATGTTCTGCAGTGTATAAAGTAAAACCAGAACATTTCTCCACTTCCTATCCTATTCCAAGGGACACCTCCTATTAACAATTTGGTGCGAACCAGATACTTTTTCTACGCATGTAAATACATCTATATGCATGTTTAAAAAAATAAGTCATTTTATAATATCTGGCAATTTCCTTTTAATAATATATAATATATCCTGGACATCTTTCCATGTCAGTATATTTGGACCTAGTCTTCTTAAAGGTTACCTAGTATCTCATTGCAGTAATTTGCTCAATCTCCTAATGTTGAGCATTTATGTTGTTTCCATTTTTTCATGGTTATAAACAATGCTGCAAATATTCCTATTCATACATATTTTTAGACACTTTAGAAAGTATTTCTTTGGGACACACTTCTAGCAATTGCCAGGTATGTTAGCCCATTCTTGTGTTGCTGCAAAGGAATACCTGCGACTGGGTAATTCATAAAGAAAAGAGGTTTAATTGGCTCACAGTTCTACAGACTGTACAAGCATGGCTCCAGCACCCACTTCTAGTGAGGGCCTCAGGAAACTTACAATCATGGCAGAAGGCAAAGGGTGAGCAGATGGGTCATGTGGTGAGAGCAGGAGCAAGAGAGGGAGTGAGGAGGTGCCACACATTTTTAAACAAGCAGATCTCACATGAAGTCACTCATCGCCAAGCCACTAATGAGTTATCTGCCCCCATGATCCAAACACCTCCCACTGGCTCCACCTCCAACACTGGGGATTACATTCCAATCTGAGATTTGGAGGCGACACGTATTCAAACCATATCACCACGTAAAAATGTATAGACATTTAAAATTTGGAGAGCTACAGACAAATTGCTGTCCAAAGGGCTGTACCTCCTTACCAATAGAATATGAGAGTACCTATCCTGGGTGATGCTGGACAGCATTAGAGCAAAGTTCTTGGGTGTTATAACTTCGTGAATGTGGTATGATGTGTTGCAGGGGCCTGAAATTAATCGACAAACACAAAGCACTCACCATCTATATGTTTCCTGGTCTCAAAAGTGTAAACTTATTTAGGAAAATAAGATATTTATACATAAAAAGTGAGTAAACAAATACAGATTAAGTGACACAGACTGAATGTCTGTGTCCCTCAAAATTCATACATTGAAACCTAATATCCAAAGTGAAGGCATAGTATTTAGAGGTGGGACATTTGAGAGGTGGACATTAGGTTACAAGAGTGGAACCCTCATGAATGAGATCAGTATCCTCATAAAAGAGGCCCCGGAAAGCTCTTTTGCCTCATTTACGATGTGAGGGCACAGCAAGAAGGCACCATCTATGAACCAGAAAGTGGGCCCTCGTCAGACACCAGGTCAACCTGCCCCTTGTTCTTGGACTTTCCAGTCTCCAGAACCATAAGGAATACATTTCTGTTGTTTATAATACATCCAATGTATAGAACTTTGCTATAGCAGCCTGAATGGACTAATATAGTGGGAAAGATCTTTTCAAAGCAGTTCCTTAGACAGTGAGTACCAGAGGAATTCTCTGAAGGGTGGATCTCTTGGATAGAGCAGAAGCAAAGGCAAGCTTTAAGGAGATGCTATGGAGAGCTTGATCTTGAAAAAGACTAGGATTTCCATAGGTAGATATAGAGGGGAAAATACCATGCTCCATGGTTGAGGAAAAGTTTGAGTGGCATTTGGATTTGGAGAGTGAACGGCATTGAGCGCACAGTGAGTAGAATTAGGGAATGTAGGAGCTGGGATTTAAATCCAGGTGGTCTGCCCTTAGAGCCCATGCTTACATTAACAAATGGTTCAGTGAAGAGAAAAAGAGCCCCTTCTATAGATACTACTTTACACCCTCGCTTTAGTTTAGATATTTGACCCTCCAAACCTCAAATGGAAGTTTGATCCCCAGTGTTGGAGGTAGGTCCTAAAAAGAAGTGCTTGGGTGGTGAGGGCAGTTCCCTCATGAATGTCTTGTGCTGTCCTCTCCATAATGAGTTCTCATTCCATTAGTTCCTTCTAGAGCTGGTTGTTGGAAAAAGCCTGGCACCTACCCACCCCTTCCTTCTTGCTTTCCGCTTCTCTCTCTCATCATGTGATCTCTGCATATGCCAGCTCCTCTTCCCCTTCCACCATGAACAGAAGCAGTCTGAGACCCCCCATCAGATGCAGATGCTAGTGTCATGCTTCCTGTACAGTCTGAAGAAACATGAGCCAAATAAACATCTTTTCTTTAGAAATTACCCAGCCTCAGATATTCCTTTATAGCAACACAAATGGACTAAGAAAAACCTGTTTTATTGTTTCCACGATATAGCTTGCACATATTTCCATGTCACATATATATCTATGCCATTATAGTGGGGAGATGCCATAAGCTAGCTTGTTTTGTATGAATGGTCATCTGGGAGGGGGATTTTTGGTGTTTTACTAAGACAAAGTTGTGATGAACATCTTTGTTCATCTGACTTTAAGCACACAGAGGTTGGGTTCGGAACAGAGTAAAAGGAAGAACTCCTCCTCTCTCATTGGGCTTTCCTCTCTCGAGTCTACACTTTGAGGAGTATAGACAGCTTTGAGGGAACCCCTTGGGTGGAGATTATGGTGAACTCTTCCGAGCCTTGCAATAACTCTTGTACTTGTCCACACACTTAAATACGTTATAGCTTGTTAGAAGGTCTCCATTGTAGAAAGCAAGTTGGGGTCAAAACAAATAAATAAATAAAATGACCCGTGAGCTGGGGACCTTAGTCTCATATTACCCTTTGTTTACTTTCCTGGTGTCTTCCCTTGGCTTTCAAATCTTATTTAAACATCCCAGCTTTGCACTGGCTCTGACATGTGGTATGAATTGAAGAGACTTATACCCATGTCTGGTCTAAAGAGTAAAAAATTGAGCATCAGTACTTCTAAAGTAGAATGGTGGTAAGACCAAAGAGCTAGAAATTGCTAGGGAAAGCTGGATCCCTGTGGACATGAGGTTAGTCTGGCTACTCCTCCCTTCTGCCAAGATTCTCCTGCTCTTCTCAGGCTTTGATTTTATGGAGGAAAGGCACAATTTCCTATGGGCATTTACTATAGGGGCTGCAGTAGAAACAAAGGGAAAGATTTGAGAGATATGGCAGAGAAAGGATCAATGGGTCTTGATGTTAGAAACAAGGGAAGAGGAGGAGTCAGATGATTTTGTGGTATGGAGGCTGAGTAATTGGAAGAATGGTGGAGGGTGAGAAACAAACAGTGATCTTGGGAGAAATATCTGGCTTGGGGGAAGATGCTAAGTTCAATTGTTGTTTTGATGAGTTTGAGGTCTCAGTGGGCAACATTCCTCCCTGGCTACTTGGGAGGTTGAAATCCATTCACAAGTAAGTAAGCATGCAAACAAACAAAAAACTCAACGTAAGCCAGGCACGGTGGCTCACGCCTGTAATCCCAGTACTTCAAGAGACCACGATGGGCAGATCACTTGAGGTCAGGAGTTTGAGACCAGCTTGGGAAACATGGCAAAATCCTGTCTCTACAGGTGCGTGCCTGTAATCCCAGCTACCCGGGAGGCTGAGGATCGAGAATAGCTTGAACCTAGAAGGCGGAGGTTGCAGTGAGCCAAGATAGCACCACTGCACTCCAGCCTGGGTGACAGAGTGTGACTCTGTCTCAACAACAACAAAAACAACCCCTAATATATATTTAACTTCCTCACCCCAAACCTTCACCATAACCTTTTCCTGGCCCTTCTTTCTTACTTCCTTCTGTTTCTCCCCAAATAATTTCCTCCCTTCCCTGTATTTCTAAGTATTCAGTCATTGCCTATGCTCTTTGCCTAGGATGGCAAGGATAATGTTGGTTTCTTTTCCCAAATGCTCTCCCTCATCCCTCTAGAATTCTTGGTGATCTGCCAACATTTTGTTCATACTCAACACTCTCTACTCATCTCTAAAGGGCTTTGCTGAAAGCTTGCTGTTTGTGTGTGCTCTCTCCCTGAGAGTAAACGAAGTTTAGCTAATGTTTCCTCCTATATCTCCCGCTGGCCCAAGCAGCTGCAGAGAGAGGAGCAGATCAGCACCTACCTTATCCTGCACCATTTCTATGCCTATCATGAGGCCTTTGCCTCGAACGTCTCCAACAATTTCAAACTCATCCCGCAGCTTAGCAAATTTTAGTAACATGTAGGTCCCAACTTCTTGACTGTTTTCCTGTAGATTTTCTTCTTTAATCACCTGTTGAGAGAAAGCCCCAAATGATCTCACATGGCAGAAGTTTTAAGACTGACTGAGAAGCGTGGAGAAGTCATCGGACATGGCCCTCTTATAACCTAACCAAACAGAATCCAGAACAAGTCTAGTGTGACCACAAGGACTACAAAAAGGTTTGTCATAAGGAGAGAAGAAAAGTCTTAGGGGAGGGGATATGCTTCTGCCCCCAACTCCCTCACCTTCAGAGGTGGCTAAGAATTTAGGAAAGAATAGGCCAGGCGTGGTGGCTCACACCTGTAATCCCAGTACTTTGGGAAGCCAAGGTGGGCGGATCACAAGGTTAGGAGTTCGAGACCAGCCTGACCAATAGGGTGAAACCCCGTCTCTACTTAAAAAAAAAATCCAAAAATTAGCTGGGCTCGGTGGTGGGCTCCTGTAATCTCAGTTACTCAGGAGGCTGAGGCAGGAGAATCACTTGAACCTGGGAGGTGGACGTTGCAGTGAGCCAAGATCGCGCCACTGCACTCCAGCCTGGGTGACAGAGCGAAACTCCGCCTCAAAAAAAAAAAAAAAAAAAAAAAAAAGATGTGTCTCAATGCAGTTGAAAATGTAGACTCTAAAATCCCAAGGCTTGTTATTGTCAGGTTTTGCTGAGAACTGGGATATAGTCATGAATAAGATGAATGCTCTGAGGAAAGAAATCTCACAGGTGCTTTCCCTACTGGAAGATGGTGACCTTTGCTCAGCAGTCCTCAGCCAGACAAGGGCTCTCATAGCCCAAGCAACCTGGTCTGGGGCTCTGGCCTCTTTGGCTGAGCCCAGAGTCAGGGCACTAGAAGATAAAAAATGATTTTTATCTCAGTTCTACTTACAGCAAACACCTGGGGTTCTTGACAAGACACATGAAAAATACTGTATTTTTATTTAGCTGACAATACTTGCATGACTCCAGGCAAACCTTGTTATTTTTAAAGACTTATTTGTTCACCTAAACCTTCTCTACCTTCTAAATTGGTTGAGGTAACAAAGCACTTTTTAAAAGAAGTTGGCAATGTCAGCTCATGTTTGTAATACCAGTACTTTGGGAGGCTGAGGTGGGTGGATCACTTGAGGTTAGGAGTTTGAGACTAGCTGGCCAACATGGTGAAACCCCATCTCTACCAAAAATATAAAAATTAGGTGGGCATGGTGGTGCATGCCTGTAATCCCAGCTACTCAGGAGACTGAGGCATGAGAATCTCTTGAACCCAGGAGACAGAGGTTGCACTGAGCCATGGTTGTGTCCCTGCACTCCAGTCTGGGTGACAGAGGAAGACTCTTTCTCAAAAAAAAAAAAAAAAAAAAAAAAAAAAAAAAAAAAAAAATTGGCAATGTCCACAAAGTGAAATAAATGACACATTCCTACCCATACTTTCTCATCTCATGATTTAATTGTTTTTGAAAATAACTATTTAATTAGCAAGGGCAGCATTTACTTATTTATTTTTGTTTAAAAATACTTTTAAATTTCAATTTTTTGGAATAGGTAAATGAAGTTCATGGTCAAAAATCAGTGAGTGTAACTGCTGGTGGGACTGTAAATCAGTACAACCTCAGTGGAAAACTGTATGGAGATTTCTCAAAGAACTAAAAGTAGGTCTACCCTTTGGTCCAGCCATCCCACTTCTGGGTATTTTCTCAAAGGAAGAAAAGTCATTATAGCAAAAAGACACCTGCACATGTATGTTTACTGTAGTACAACTCACAGTTGCAAAGATATGGAACCAACCTAAGAGCCCATCAATTGATGAGTGGATAAAGAAAATGCGGTGTATACACACACACACACACACACACACACACACCATGGAATACTACTCAGCCATAAAAAAGAAAATAACGTCTTTTGGAGCAACTAATAAGTGTTCTCACTTATAGGTGGGAGCTAAGCTATGGATACACAATCGACATTGGAGACCCAGAAGGGGGGAATGTGGGAGGGGGGTGAGGGATGAAAAATTCCATATTGGGTACAGTGTACACAACTTGGGTGACAGTGCACTAAAGTCTCAGGCTTTGCCACTATACAATTCATCCATGTAACCAAACCCACTTGTATCCCAAAAGCTATTGAAATAAATAAATATATACATATATAAACATATATATACATATATAAATATATATACATATATAAATATATACATATATAAATATATATGTGTGTGTATATATATAAATATCAGCAAGCATAAAAGTATATACAGCAGAGTGACTCTTGCTGACCCCTGGCCCCCAGCCACCTAGTTTTCCTCCCCACAAAAAAAACACTGTCATTTACTTCTTAGTAAAAAAAAATCTTTTTTTAAACAGATGCGATCCCAGGCTAAATCAACAGTGTAGGGTTGAACAGCTGAATTACCTTGCTGTAAGCATGTAAAACTCAGTGTCTCCTTAGTCATTCAATTTATAATAGTACAACAAAAGGAAGGAAGAAAAATACACAAGAGAAGGCCAACATGAAACTAATTACAAGGATAGCAGTTAACATCTGTAAATCACTACCCAGATAACAAAGAAATTTCAGCTGGCTAGGAAAATTCTTACATTTCCCATGTATGTGAGGTTTATTATATATTATTTTTTATCCAACACTTCAAGCACCCAAAGTAGATCTTTAAAAAGGGAGAAGGCAGAATAATAAACGGAAATCTAACTTTAATGGATAAACTATGAATTAACTCTCCCCTTTAATAATTCAGCATGATAAAGTTCTGCCAACGCGTGTGTGGTTTTGAAAGAGTCATTTGTGAAATGTGGCTAATGTGGCCACTGGCACCAACCTCAAGCACAGCAGATCCAATGGCACAGGCCATGGGGTTCCCTCCAAAGGTGTTGAAGTATTGCAGGCGTTTGGCCAAAGATTTGGCAATCTCTAGAGGGAAAAAATAGAAAGTGTGGAAAGAGGGACACATTACTGTCCACAATCTCTCATGGCGCCATTTGGACTACAGTTACTTCGTGTTGTAAATGGCATCCTATCCAATTCATTCTTCATTCAACTGATAGTAGATGTTAGGGACTGAATTGTACCACCTCAAATGCGAATGGTTGAAGCCTTAACCCTGAATGAGACTGTATTTGGAGATAGTGCGTTTAAGTAGGTAATTAGGTTGAATAAGGTCATCAGGGTGGGGCCCTATCTAAGCCCAAGGAACTGGTTTTCTTATAAGAAGAGGAAGAGACACCAGAACCCTCTCCCACCCCTCTCCTCTTTCCATCCCCTCTTCCTCTTCCATATACCTCTAAAGTGTGGTGGAACCCTCCATTTCATGGTAGGCATGGGAGAATTAGTCTTCCTTACAGGAAGATCAGAATGGGCTGGTTTCCGATGGGGGTGTGGTGGCTCACGCCTATAATCCCAGCACTTTGGGAGGCCAAGGCAGGCGGATCACCTGAGGTCACGAGTTCAAGACCAGCCTGGCCAACAAGGTGAAACCCCGTTTCTACTAAAAATACAAAACTTAGCTGGGCTTGATGGTGCATACCTGTAATCCCAGCTACTCAGGAGGCTGAGGCAGGAGAATTGCTTGCACCTGAGGAGGCAGAGGGTGCAGTGAGCCAAGATTGTGCCACTACACTCGAGCCTGGGCGACAGAGCAAGACTCTGTCTCAAAAAAAAAAAAAAAAAAAGGACTGTCTTTCTTCCATCTGTGTTTCACAGTCAGGCAGACAGACTGTTTCTCTCTTTCATTTGCTTGGGAAATGCATCGTGAGGTTTCCATGATTGTCTCCAATCTACGCAAGTTCCAACACACGTGTTTAATACCATAGCCCAATGTATGAGGCCCAGAAGCAAACACAAACTGCCTGTAGGTCCTACCTGGAGTGGTTACGACTGCTGCCATGGGAAAGCCATTTCCAATCCCTTTAGCCATGGTGACAATGTCAGGCAGGATGTCGTGGGTTTGGAAGCCCCAGAAGTGAGAGCCCAACCTTCCAAATCCTGTCTGCACCTGGGAAAACAAGTTCAAAACAATTGGAAACCCATCAAGACATGCTGTTTTTGACTGGGTGCAGTGGCTCATGCCTGTAATCCCAGCACTTTAGGAGGCCGAGGTGGGTGGATCACGAGGTCAGGAGTTCAAGACCAGTTTGGCCAAGATGGTGAAACCCCATCTCTTCTAAAAACACAAAATATTAGCCAGGTACGGTGGCAGGTGCCTGTAATCCCAGCTACTCAGGAGGCTGAGGCAGAAGAATCACTTGAACTCAGAGGGTGGAGGCTGCAGCGAGCCGAGATTGTGCCACTGCACGCCAGCCTGGGCAACAGAGTGAGACTCTGTCTCAAAAAAAAAAAAGAAAAAAGAAATGCTGTTTTCTTCTCTGATCTCTTCCTTTTCCCTCCTCCTCATTATGGCCATCATCAGCCATTATCATCAGCATCCTGTAGTATCATGGACAAAGCGCTTAATCTGTGCCTGATATTAGGCATCAAGAGTGATTTCCTAGCTTTGTGCAATTCTGGGTATGTTTCTTAAGTCCTTGGAACCTCTGTTAACTCATCCATCAAGTAGAAATACAACAATAAGTCACAGGCTCAATGAGGGTCGTACAAATAACACGAAAGGGATCATTATGATTAACAATTTTTGATGAGCATTTCCTCTGTGTAAGAAAGCAGGGTAGAAAAGTAGAGAAGCTGAGTCTGCCCCAGGATAGATGAAGAGGGAGTTACTGTCAGTCAAGTGGAGCTGGGGCACTTGCTCCAGCCCAGTTAAACTGGTCATCCTCTTCCAGGGATGCCTTCCCCTTCCTGAGAACTGTATCGTGAGGAGGACCCAGCCGAGGCAGTTAACTCAGGGTTGAACTCCTCTAATCTAGAAATTGTGGTTTGGACTAAAAATTGACCTTAGTTTTTTTGTGCATGCTGTTTGCTCTTTCTAGAAGACCCTCTTCCTGCTGCTTTATCTCACTGACTTCTTCTGTGCTTCAAAACAAACTTTGCTGGCCAGGCGCAGTGGCTCAGGCCTGTAATCCCAGCACTTTGGGAGGCTGAGGCAGGGGGATCACAATGTTAGGAGATCGAGACCATCTTGGCTAACACAGTGAAACCCCGTCTCTACCAAAAAAAATTTGAAAAATTAGCCGGGCATGGTGGCGGGTGTCTGTAGTCCCAGCAACTTGGGAGGCTGAAGCCGGAGAATGGCATGAACTGGGGAGGCAGAGCTTGCAGTGAGCCGAGATCACACCACCGCACTCCAGCCTGGGCAACAGAGCACGATTCCATCTCGAAGCACTCCCCCCCTCCCAAGAAAACCCCCAAACAAACAAACAAAAAAACTTTGCCATCACTTGGTTTCTGAAGGTTCTCCTGAGCCTTAGTTAGGCTCCCTCTCAAGGTACTCTGGGCATGCTGCCATCAGTGGCTTTCATAGAGGACTGTTATCACCAGTGGGCATGTCCCATGGCAGGGACTGTGTCTTATTCCATTCTCTATCCGCAACACCTAGCACAGTTCCTGATACAAAGTAGACACTTCATAAGCACTTGTGGAAGGAATGACAGGGTGGCAGCAGTGCCTGATTAAATAAAGTCACACAAACATCTCCACACACATTTCTGCCAGAGCCTTTCTGGTGAAGTCTCCTTGATTTCTCTGTGGCTCTCAGTCTCCCTGTCTGTCTCTCTGTCTCTCTCCACACATACACACAATGCAAAATGGGGGTTAGGGATGTGGGTACTCGAAGCTCGTTCTAAAATGCACTTAAAAGAGTGAGCTTCCAGGCTGGGCACGTTGGTTCACGCCTGTAATCTCAGCATTTTGGGAGGCCGAGGCGGGTGGATCACCTGAGGTCAGAAGTTCGAGACCACCCTGGCCAACATGATGAAACCTCATTTCTAGTAAAAATACAAAAATTATCTGGGCATGGTAACGGGTGCCTGTAATCTCAGCTACTCTGAAGGTTGAGGCAGGAGAATCGCTTGAACCTGGGAGGCAGAGGTTGCAGTGAGCCGAGATCACGCCACTGCCCTCCAGCCTGGGTGACAGAGTAAGACTCCATCTCAAAAAACAAAAAAAAAAAAAAAAAAAAGAGTGAGCATCCTTTTCAGATTCACTTCTCATTTTCCCACTTTCTCTAGGCTGCTGCAGCAAGGGCAGATTCTGGGGGTTAGAATTAGATGACAGTGACCAATATAGGAGAAGAGCTTAACCTGGGAGTCAGACAGACCTGGGCTGGAATCCTGGGTGGACTCCTTCCTACTAATTAGCCTCTGGGCAACTGATTGATTTTTCCAAATGGGATAATGTAGGAGGAGCTCGTGGAAAATCCATCCATTTTGTCTTCCTGCCTGTCTTTTTCACTCTATCTAAATACCATACATAAATGGCATAAATGGTGAAAAATCAGATTGCTTGGACAATGTGTAACAGTGAAAAGGAAGCCTAGCATGACGTACTCCATTTTGCTCCTAACCAGCTTGCTCTCATCCCCTCCACTGTGATGATGTCTTTTAGGTTAACTGCTTTTGTTTATCTCTGCTTATAGGCTAAGCTAACTATGGGAGGAATTTAGTTTATAGTTTAACTAAGGCAAGGATGCTTTAAAAAGAATCCCTGAGGAGATAAGAAGGGTGTACACACAAGTAACAACGTTACATTAAAAATTTATAACAGTATTGTAACCTGACCAAGGACGCAAGTTTACCCTTGCTGTGGCCCAAATGTCTGTGGTCACCAGTCACCTTTTGACCTCAAGCCCCTCCCTCTTCCCCTTTCCCTTAACACAAAAGGAACCCACATTTGCTTAAGGTGGTTCTTTTTTTTTTTTTTGAGACAGTCTCGCTCTGTTGCCCAGGCTGGAGTGCAGTGGCACGATCTCGGGTCACTGCAAGCTCTGCCTCCCGGGTTCACGCCATTCTCCTGCCTCAGCCTCCTGAGTAGCTGGGACTACAGGCGCCCACCACCATGCCTGGCTAATTTTTTGTATTTTTAGTAGAGATGGGGTTTCACCGTGTTAGCTAGGATGCTCTCGATCTCCTGACCTTGTGATCTGCCCGCCTCGGCCAAGGTAGTTCTTTAGGACATGAGTCTGCCGTCTTCTCCGTTTGCTTGCTCCCCGAAATAAAGTGGTCTTCCTTGCCCCAACACCTTATTGCTTGACTTATTGACTGTTTTGCAGCAAGTGGTACAAGCTTTGGACTCGGTTACAAATGCGTGGAATTATGTAGAACAATAAATCATGTTTAGTCTCTGAGGAAGTATCAGTTTCATAGACTCTTACAGTAGTACAGAGATGGATCATTCTAACGTCCATAAACTCAACTGTCTTTGCAGATGAGGAGCATATATTAGGGAGAGGAGCAGCCTGGGTCATGACAGCAAGTGGGGTGGGGACTATGGGTGGGCATGCCCTGTAGTCAGTTTCAAATTCAAAATCAGTCTATGCCAGTATGGGCCCAGAGGCTGCCGGTTTTCTACCTTTAATCCAAATTCCACATTTTAAAGAAAAGAATGCCACTGATTATTAATTAAGATAACTTGTGTAAGACTGCTCCTCGGCAGAACTGGCCCTCCGCACTCAGGTTTTTCTATGCTGTATTCCTTCCCTTTCTGCCATGATTTGCCCTTTCTACACCACACTCTGTCATTTGGGAGGGGCAGCTTGATACAGTGGCTAGTCATGTGGTTTTGGGAGCCTGAATTTGAGTCTTGGACCTATTCCTACCAATGGCATAAGCTTGACAGGTTGTTTAACCACCTTGGACCTAAATTCACTTATATTTAAAATGCGATGATAGGGTTTGGCCGTGTCCCCACCCAAATCTCATCATGCATTGTAGCTCCCATAATTCCCACGTGTTGTGGGAGGGACCTGGTGGGAGATAATTGAATCATGGCGGCGGTTCCCCCATACTGTTCTCATGGTAGTGAATAAGTCTCACAAGATCTGATGGTTTTATAAGGGGAAACCCCTTTTGCTTGGCTCTCATTGTCTCTTGTCTGCTGCCATGTAAGATGTGCCTTTCGCATTCTACCATGATTGTTAGGCCTCCCCAACCACATGGAACTCTGTCCTTTAAACCTCTTTTTCTTTATAAATTATCCAGTCTCAGGTATTTCTTTATCAGCAGCATGAGAAAGGATTAATACACAGGAATAATAGCAATGGGGCATATAGAACTATAGAACTGTTGATAGGTATGAACTGAGTTAACACGTGCAAAGTGTTATGAACAGTGCCTGACACACAGTAAGTACTCAGAAAGTTCCAGCTATCCTTATTTTTACCTAGTCTTCGGAATAGTCCTTCTTAAGGATACCTGTGTTAGACAGTTTTCAATCATTGTTTGAAAGTCATAAAACCGTAAGACAGAAAATTCTGAAATTCATATTTCCTTTGAATTCAGCCTACCATCTCTTTAATTAGTCTGACTGTGACAGCTTCACTATGTGCTGATTTGGAGGCCAAAGTTTATCCTTTTAAATGATGTAGCTAATTTCAAACTGACTGGATATTCTCTTCTTTTTAAAATAGCAGATTATCTTTCTCCAGCCAGAACTTCCATCGGTTTGTGGGCAGACTGGAGAAGGGAGGATGGGCACAGCAGCAGCAGGCTGGCCCAAGTTGCCTGTGGTACACCAGGGACATCCAATGCACCTGGGCATTAACAGAGACCCAGCTGCCCAGGCAGAAATTGCAAAATTTCTGGGGTTTCACCATGTTGGCTGGGCTGGTTTCGAACTCCTGACCTTAAGTGATTCGCCTGCCTCAGCCTCCCAAAGTACTGGGATGACAGGTATGAGCCACCGTGCCCAGCCTAGCTGTAGGAAATTTTTAGTTGAGGAAGTCTATTCCAACAATGATGGCTGGACTGAAATAGGTGTGAAACATACTTACAGGTTCTCCACTTGTCCTTGGTTGGTCTAACCACCTGTTAGTCCAATCAAGATAGGTCACCCAGCAGTAAAGCAGGGCTTCTGTGGCCCTGGTGATCATCCTCTGGTCTTTTAATCTCCATAACTATTCTAAGAAGACGGAGGACTACTTTCTTTGATACACTCTAATATGAGGTATAATCATAGGTAAATTAATCCCTTTTAAAAACACACAGCTAGAGCTCACATAGCCAGTGAATTTTATTCCCATTAAAGTAACGCCCTTGGGGGTAGTGTGCTTATTCCACCAATGCTGCTTTAATTAAATCTATTTTACAATTTTCTGGGAACTATTTTCAAATGCAGTATCTGCAGTGGTGGTACTCTTCTAATTTAGAGGCTGGATTATTATTACTATTTTAAAAACATTATTTTGGCCGGGCACGGTGGCTCATGCCTGTAATCCTAGCCCTTTGGGAGGCCAAGGCGGGCAGATCACCTGAGGTCAGGAGTTTGAGACCAGCCTGACCAGCATGGAGAAACCCCAGTTTCTACTAAAAAACACAAAATCAGCTGGGTGTGGTGGCGGATGCCTGTAATCCCAGCTACTTGGGAGGCTGAAGCAGGAGAATCACTTGAACCCCGGGAGGCAGAGGATGCCACTGCACTCCAGTCTGGGCAACAAGAGAGAAACTTTCTCTTGTTGTTTTGAGAAACTCCGTCTCAAAAACAAACAAACAAAGAAACCCCACATTATTTCCAGGCAAGTTTTGTCAGAAAGGTGTATGCTGCCAGGTTGGTAAATACTATTTTTGCAAAAATTGAGATTAAAAACTTGGCTATTGGGCCTGGCATGGTGGCTCACGCTGTAATCCCAGGACTTTGAGAGGCCAAGGCGGGCGAATCACTTGAGGTCAGGAATTCAAGATCAGCCTGGCCAACATGGTGAAACCCCGTCTATACTAAAACTACAAAAATTAGTCAGGCTTGGTGGCACATGCCTGTGGGCCCAGCTACTCGGGAGGCCGAGGCAGGAGAATTCCTTGAACCCCAGGAGGCGGAGGTTGCAGTGAGCCGAGATCGTACACTGTACTCCAGCCTGGACGACTGAGCGAGACTTTGTCTCAAAATAACCAAACAAATAAAAACAACAAAAAACTTGGCTGTGAGATTAAATTTCCTATGTTGTTTGTCAGCCCCTGAAACAATCCCTAGAAAGGAATTTAAAAAATACATTGAGTCACGGTCTATTAACATCATATATGACTGTTAGCAACTTATTCGATAGATATCAATTTGGATATTTAAGTTCTGTTGTACTTGTTAAACTGATCAGCAAATGTACTAACAAATCAACCAGCCCGCTAGCAAAAATTTCATTCATTTGTAGGCAAACTTTGGAGACTTTGCCTGGAACACGGAGGAAGTTTAGGAGGTTTCTGTCTGTGCATCTCCTGTTCCCACAGCACTCAATGGCACCCTTACATGCCACTTACTTCATCTGCAATGCACACACCTCCCCTTGCTCGCACCAGCTCAAAGGCTTCCTTTAGAAACCCCTTTGGGTACTGGACAACTCCATTCACACCCTGCAAAAGACCAGACCAAGAAGACCTATAATAATAGCATCAGCCTTTCAAAGTATACAAAAAGTTAGATCATCATTATCATCAATATCATGATAGTAACACTAGCAATTTTAACAACAGTCTATAGAACAGTTTTCACTACGGGTGAAAAGAGGAGTTATTACTCTACACCATGACTTCTGGAAAAAAGATGCAAACATTGATTATTTTCCGAGATTAGAAAACAGTAGAATAGAGGAATTTGGTGAGACTAACGAAAGAGTTCTTTGGACAATGTGGATGTTACTAAGCAGCTAAAAACAGCCAGGGTTTCCTCTTCTTAAGAATTTTAGGAGTTCAGTAGTTTCACCTGTCTGGTGGAAATGGAGGAGAGGGTTTTTAAAAGATCATTTGAAAGTCAGTGTCTTCTTTCTTTCAAGGAGACCAAGAGAACAAATTTAGAGACGGACACAGTAAAAAATTCATTTGGAATTCTCTAGAATGTATGAGTTAAAACTTTCTGATAATTGAAGATTCAGCTCCATTAATGTCTTAGATTCATGTACCCACTTGAATAGGTTCTGCAAAAAATCCTGCAATTGACTTGGCCACAGATGTGCTCAGCGTGTCTTTGAACTGCTCAATATACTGGTCTTTAGCTTGGCAGCAGTCTGCAAAAAACAAACAACAAAGTAAAACAAACACAGCATTTGAAAATGTGAGCCTGATATCTAGAAGCATGGGGAAAAACAGGAAAAAAAAGAAAAACAAAAACCCAGACAGTGTAAGTCAACCAGGGACTGGGAGTGAGGATATGCATTTCTGAAGGGGGAACGTTCTCTCTGAACAACTTGTACTTTGGTTCAAGAAGGGAGATTAGGATAGCCATAAAGGCACAAACAAACCACTTCAGTTCTTTCCATCTGGGGAAAAAATGTCCCGAAGTGTCATTGAGCTGGTATAGACAGCTGTTTCACCTAAGGATGCCCGTCCTCTAAAACGGGTGGATCTAATTCAAATGGAATTAGAGTGATTTAATTTATTTGAAAGTAACTCTATTTCCTTTCATTGCCATCTAATCTGATGTACAGTTTTAAAGCTACAAAGTGTCTTTGTCTTTAGAGTTAGTAAATACGTTTGTAGAACAATTAGAATTCAGTTTAAAGAGAAATGTTTGAGAGCCAAGTAGCTTCCATCCATCGCAGCCCTTGGCACTTGGTCCTGTGCTTGTTTTTAACAGACCTTTCTCCCATTAATCAGGAGGTTTTTGTGGGCAGGGACTATGCCTTGTTCATTTCTAAAATCTCTGTGGCCAAATAAGCTGTTTGGTACACTGTAGGTGGTGCTCAGTAAATGTTTAATGCATTAAGAAGAAAATATTAACAAATAGTAGAAATTATGGCTGGAGTGAGACATTGAGCAATTTTGTTTGAAGGTCTTTTTTTTTTTTAGAGGTCTTTCTAATGGGGAAAAGCTGTAAAGTGCCCTTTTTGAAGTGATCTGTCTTTAATTCATTACTTCTCCTTTTGACTGCATCTTACTGCTGATAAACCCACCTGCTGAGTTTTAAATGTCAAGAATCACTTTTATATTACTAGAAGATATATTTGTTTTCAAAACTTGCTTTCTTATTCTTCATGATGTCCTATCCATTTCACATATTTCCAAGCTTACATTTGATTTTCTTTAAATGTATTAAACATATTCGTGTCATAGTCTATCTGATAATTCTGTTATTTGAAATCCTTGCAGATCTTTTCCTTGATTGTAGAGTTTTGTGTATTGTGTGTTTATTTTTGACAAGGGGCAGTTTATTTTCCTTGGAATTTCATTTGTGAGAATTCTTTGAGACCCAGAATGAGGTAGATCCCTCCAGAGCCTATTTGAATTGGCAGCTTCCAAGCACGCAGGGCGTTAGAGTCTAAGAGTCCTTTAAATTATAAGCTTGAGGAAATGAGCGTTCACAATGCAAAGCCTTGGAGAGCCAGCCTACAGGTGAAATTTCCGGTGGTGGTTCCTCCCAGTCCCTCCACTTCCGTTCAGCACCAGAATCCTTGCAGGCCCTTTGGCCTGTGACGGGTAACACGTTCTTGGTGGTGTATTTAATTCTAGTTTACCCGTGGATGAAGAGGTGGCCCCTTGGGGGCTCCAGCTTTGTGGCAGGGGAGGGTTTCCTATAAGATCCCTTACTTTGGCTGGGCCCTGGACTTCGTCATCTCTTCCCTGCACTCCACAGAGCCATCAGCATGGAAGCTCAAGGTTACCAGGTTCAACAAATGCTCTCGGGGTCAAAGCTGCCTGCACTGCCCTAATTATCTCTATGCGTTTCTGAGAATTCGTGCTTTCTTGTATCCATGCTTTGAAGGGAATGTGTTTCATTTTATCCAGAATTTTTTAGTTGTTTTCCGCTAGAGAAAAGCCAGGCTATCATGTTACCAGTACCAGCTGTCCATCCAGCTCAATTGTCTTAGTACTAACCATATCTACTTTCCCATCCTGCTTAAAGATACTAGAAACATTTCTGCCATGCTTCACCAGCTGCAAGCCTCACCACACAGACACACAGGCATGAAATCCTGTGGATGGCAGAGGACGAGAGGAGAGTGGGAAAATTGCCCAGCAGGCTTGCCCAAGCTCCAAAAGCCTACATCTGTGTGTCAAAATTGAAAGTGGGAATCACCAAGGAAGCAGGAAAAGTGTGTGTGTGAGAGAGAGAGAGAGAGAGAGAGAAATTCTTCTATTCTGGAATAACAAAGGTCCCAGATCAACTGTATCCATACATGACTGAACCTCCAGAATTTTTATCCACACCTGTTATTTGGTTCTAAACAGCACCATGCAGTCTCTGAACTTAAACTTATATCCATAGATGACAGAAGGAGTGCAGAGAAAGATGTGGATGGGATGCAAAGCCCCAACCCAAGTGACAGTGAAAGCAGTCTGGGTCACCACCTTCCATCCCAGTGCTTGCCTAGAGGCATGGATGCAGTGCTGTCTCCACGGTGCTAGACAGAAGGAATAGAAACCTGCAATCACCATCAAAACCGAATTTTGTACCTCAGCTCTTCATTAAAAGTGAGGAAATACTAGCTGGCCCCAAACATATTTTTAGGTTACGTGTGATATTCGGAAAAGTTTGATCGACAGAGGTACCTGATATCTTTGGTTAGCTGGAGGTTGGAGGTTGAGGGTGTGAGAAAGGAAGTAATGACAAGTATATCAAGCCCTCAAAGTATGTTTTTGGCATCACTTGTGTTGTTTTGATGAGAAGAATATAGTAGACAAATAAATCTATGCCTCTAGAGACAGAAATTTCCCGTTTTCTTTGGGAAAGGAAAACAGCTTCAGATGACCCTGAAAGATGGGTCAGAACTATGTTCAAGAGACATAATTTGGAAATTTAACAAGCCCATTTGTAACTGGAGAAATCAAAGAGTGGAGCTTAAATTTGGGCAGAACCAAACCAAAAGGTTTTGCTTGAACCTATGCTAGACCTTTCATGACTTTTTCCCTCTCTGCCCACATGCTCAACGATGAAAGAGTCATCGACTGTGATGAGCTTTTTACTTTATTTCACACTAGCTGCATTGGCTCATTGCTGTTACCCCACGTTAGGCCACTTCTGCAGAGGCTTGGTAGGAGGAAAACCCCAAGGGGGTGAAGACAGGATGTTCTGTTGAATACCGCAACAGGTTGGCAAAGGAAGAATTTATTCCAGCTGGCGGTACAGAAAGAGTTAAGCTGAGTGAGGAGCCAAGAAAGAACTACAATTTTTAAGAAAAACAAAACTTGTCTTTCAAAAGAAGAAGAATGACATGATCAGTACCAGGTCTGGAACATTGTGGGGGCAGTAGGTAATGAGGATTGAATCTCATCATGGTTTACATCTGAAACTCAGGGCCTGGAATGAACCCCTGGGGAGAAAAAACCCTGGGAGGTAGATGGAGTAGAACAAAGAAATATACCACATAAACATCTAGATTAGACTCACAAAATGACCCCCCGCCTCTGTTGGGAGAGATGACATATTTCTGAGATGAGAAAAATCTCTACCATGGTTGGTGCCTCAATTCCCTTAAGGTATTCCTATCAATAGGTTAAGAGGAATTGAGAACAGGCAACATCTATAGTCAAAGAACTGTACATGTTTGGATGCTTTTGTAAACATATATGAATAGTCCAGTTTTACAGCAAAGACTAAACTCTTCCCAGGTCCTAAAGGCAGTGGAGGAGGCTGGGGTCCTTCTTTTGTATTCCAATCCTGTTCAAAGATTACATACATAGTCTTGTCTCTTGAAGATATGAGTTAAGAAAACAGCTGGCTGGACACGGTGGCTCACGCATGTAATCCCAGCACTTTGGGAGGCCAAGGCAGGCGGATCTCCTGAAGTCAGGAGTTCGAGATCAGCCTGGCCAACATAGTGAAAACCGGTCTCTACTAAAAATATAAAAATACAAAAATTAGCTGGGCGTGGTGGCAGGCACCTGTAATCCCCGCTACTCAGAAAGCTGAGGCAGGAGAATCACTTGAACCCAGGAGGTGGAGGTTGCAGTCAGCCACGATCACGCCACTGCACTCCAGCCTGGGGGACAAGGGTGAGACTTCGTCTCAAAAAAAAAAAAATAAATAAGTAAATAAATAAATAAAAAAGAAAACAGCTGACTTCAGATATGCCAAAGACAATAGTTCAGAGCAGAAATGTACGCCTGTCACTATCATTTAGCCTCTAGATGCCACTAGAGAGACCATGGACTTCTGGTATTGTCAAATTTGCTTAAGTAGTCCTATAGTAGGCCTTACAGTAGGCTTGTCTCTCTTCTATATGGAAAGAGGAATATATAGCAGGAAAAGAAGGAATGGCCACCTCTTGAGTGCTTGTGTCTACTAGGCTCTGTGCTGGTGGTTTTGCAGTCAGACCAGGGGCTGGAAGGTGCATCAAACTGATTTTAGTTCTTGATGCCATACAGATACAATATTCAAATATGGCGTTACCAGGTATTGCTGTGGTCTGGTTTTCTCTATATAAACTCTCTATGCGTTATCTCATGAAGTGCTGCGATGGCGTTGGCAGCAGCCACATATTGCTGTCTCTGTTTTACAAATGAGAAAACTGAAGCAAAAGGTGAAGCTTTTGCTCATAGCCGAACCATTCCAGAGCTGAGAGTGGAATCCATCTCTTGACTTCATGCAACTCCTCAGTCCTGGCCTGCAGGACAGGAATGATTTTTCAGCTTGGGTTTATCTTGACGGCACATCAGTGTGGATGAGGATGGCTATAGAAATTGGGAGCACTGGTTTTGGAGTCAAAAGACCTGGGGTCAAATCTTAGCCCTCCAGTCTTCTCTGTGTGAATCTGGCTTTCCTCATGTTTAAAGTGAAGAGTTTGATTTATAACTTTATAGCTTTACATTTCCTTCTGGTTTTAAATTCCGTGAGCGTGACATCTTGTCTTGTTCCAGTACTTACTTTTTCATTCTCTTACCTCCATTTTGCTATTATGTCATCTGAATTTTAAGACGACGGTGAATTTTCTTCCTTTCAGAGCTGATTTTTAAGACTTCTGTTTTGTATTTTTCCTCTCAACCCAGTGATTCATACTATTCCATTAAAAATCACTGGGCTGAAGCTTTTAGTTATTTCCTTCAGAACTACTAAGGAACAGCTATTCAAAAGGTTGCGATGACAAATTGGAGGCAGGGCTTGTTGATTAGCAAGGAACAGATGATGTTTCCTGCCTTCTCTCCCTCCTGTTAAGTATAGGTAAATAATGCAAATAAAAATGTGATTGATAAATGGAAGTTCTCCTTGTGAGAAAGCCTTTGAAACTTTTGCCAGGGTTGTCAGCAGCCTGAAGGAAGGGCAGCCTTGTGTTTTGTTTGACAGATGCTCTCATTTTGGCTGGCAGTCCCTGGAGAACTTTTTGATTGGAGTTTTGAGATTCCCAAAAGCATTATTTTCCCTCCGTCCATTGGGATTGGTAAATAATCCCACCCATCTTGATTTCTTGGGTTTTCTTTTTTTTTTTTTTTTTTTGACGGAGTCTTGCCTTGCCACCTAGGCTGGAGTGCAGTGGTGTGATCTCAGCTCACTGCAACCTCTGCCTTCCAGGTTCAAGTGATTCTTGAACCTCAGCCTCCTGAGTAGCTGGGATTATAGGTGCATACCACCACGCCTGGCTAATTTTTGTATTTTTAGTAGAGACAGGGTTTCACCATGTTGGCCAGCTGGTCTCAAACTCCCGACCTCAGGTGATCTGCCCGCCTCGACCTCCCAAAGTGCTGGGATTATAGCCGTGAGCTACACACCCCACTGGGGCTTGCTCTTTCATGCAGGCTGGAGTGCAGTGGCATAATCATGAATCACTACAGCCTCAACTTCCTCAGCTCAAGTAATCCTCCCACCTCAGCCTCCCAAGTAGCTGGGACTACAGACATGCCACCACGTGCAGCTTGTTTCATTTTAAAATTGACACCAGAGCTATTGCTATTATAATAGAGCTAATAGAATGCCTTGAATCAAGTACCAACTGATAGTCATTTTTTTAAGCTTGGCTCTGATAGCATGAGATGCTTTTCCTATATGGCCAGACAGATGGTCTGAGAGTGAAGTGATAGCAGATATAAGTGTTGATTCAATGAGGAATAACTTGGTTACTTTCCAGTTTTGCTTCCTCTGGCTTTTCCCTTTTCCATGTTTTCAAATTTAATTGTTACTCTAGGGATAGGTGTGCCTTTATTCGTGTCCTTTCCAACATCCAACCCTCCACCGGCCCCTCCCTTGCCCAGTCGGACCTGGTGCACAGCTGCACTTCCTGATTGTTTGCACTGGAGAATCTCGACAGTGGCTTCCTCCCCAAGGGCCACGAAAAACATCTGGACACATTGTCTGCAAATGACAAAAGAAGGAGTGTGGCCAAACATGAACACGAGACAGCCCATTTAGGCCGCCATCAAGACAAGAGGGCTTCTTAGTTTTCCTCCCTCATTCTTCCCCCACTTAAGATGAAAACTGAATAATCTGCTTTGCAGAGATAATTTTTTCTTAGAAATCAGCTATGTGGGCACTCTAACAAGGAACTGATTTCAATGTTAGCCTGGAAACAACTTGCTCAAGGGTGCAGTGGGTAAGGGCATCTGAAAGAATATGAATAATTAGGTATCTGATTCTGATGCTGAAAAGGTGGGTACAGTAAGTGGGAACAGAAGGTGAGTACAGTGATGACTTCACAGAAATTTTATGCATTCAAGATTCTCAGAGCTTTGCAGTTTACTTGAATTTATTTAAAAGTAAAATAAATTTGAAAACCCTGTCATTAATTATTACTCAGGCTCAGAAGGCCTTTCTAATGGTGTCCTCAAGTGGTCTCCAATTCAATTAGGTCAAATTGAGCCCCTGATTAATGACAGGCTTTATATTAGTTTCTAAGCCTTATACCAGGAAAACCTGATCAACTACTTCACATACCCAGCAGTCTTTAAAGAAAGAAGAGAAAAATCTCCAAACTCACTGGTTGGCAACCTGTCCCACCAGGGAGTTCCATCTTGTAGGCCCCTACATTTGTCAAGCCAAGTGTGTAAGGACTGCATCCATGGTAGGCTCCTCTGCAGAGAAGAAACAACAGGAGGATTGAGTCAAGTTCCTGGTCCACTGAGTAGAACAAAAGAGAAAATCCAGGAAGGCCATGAAGATGAAATAGAATATCATTCGCATCCACCTCTGATTTCTAAGAACACATCGAAGCCTACGTCAGGTGAATGTACTTAATAGTCTTTTCTAACTGTTGTTAGAAAACACAGATTTGAAACTGTGAAAGGAATTTTGGAGAACATTTGTCCAAGACCTCCAATCTTAGGACCTGCCCTACTCTATTACTCCATGGTAATGAGACTCATCTTTTAGCAACATACCAGAAATTATATGTTCAATGAATACCAGTCTTCGAAGTAGTCGCATTGGGAAGCCAAATATTTTTTCCTGTGATATACCTGTTGATCAATATCTTTAGGGACTTACACACCTTATAAATTACCTTATTCTCCATCTAAGAAACATAGGTGTTGTTTCTTTTGAACCTGAAACAGTCATGTTTAGTATAAATGCTCCTAATCATCAGTGTCAGCTTCAAATGAATTTTAACAATTTCCCATACCACAATCACCTTTAAACAAGGATTTTGGACTATTAAGACTATTCAAAAGAATGGCTTATTAGGTCGGTGCAAAAGTGATTGAGATTTCTGCCGTTAAAAGTAATGGCAAAAACCACAATTACTTTTGCACCAACCTAATATATCTTGAAAAAGGAGACACAATGTGTCTGGTAGTACTGTGACTACTTAATACTTACCTGGACATACACATTCTGGAATGTTATTTAGGTAATACATTAATCACAATTCTTTATTGCCGTATTCCTGATTCCTATAATAACTGCATGTTCATCTGCTATGGAATGTGCAGTATTGAATGTGCTATCATAAGGATTAAATAAAATCTTTTGAATTCACACAGAAATTATGGCCAGACAGGTTAAAAATGCCACTGTTTCTTCATTCCATCAACTTTTACTGTAAGTCACTCCTATCTTTTACATTAACTTTCAGGAGTCTGTTTAAATGTGCTGTGTACAATTACCCAAGGAAGGTAACTGTGACCAAAATGCTTAGTTTTCTATTATTTTTAGTGCTAATATAGCCATTAAGGGTTTATTAATTAATGTGTTTTCAGTGCTCAAAAGTCACTGGAAGAAGCAGAAATATACAGGGTTATATGTGCATCCTCTGAACTTAAGGAGAATAAAGGGTGAAAAACAGGTGCAGCTAGCACTATGAAATAAGCGGACAGCTCCTTATCATAAGCAGAAATTAAAACGGGCCAGTATTTTTTGGTAGAGCCTTGATCTTCTAAGGTGGGGAACAGTCCTTTACTGCTTGATATATGGTGTGGTCCCTGCCACATCTTCAAAGTTAAAAAACTGTCATGTGGGTTTCTCTTTAATTCCATAGGAGGATCTATGATATAATGAGGACTTCAAGCTGTTTGTCACCAGTTGGGGCCCCCTCTCTTGTATAAGGCTAACTTGAATGCAGTTATCCTGTTATAAAATTCAATTGACCAATCCTTCCTTAAAACTTAACAATTAGAACAATATTCCCGAGAAAACCTCTCTCCCACTCCATGCTAATGTAAAGATACACATTAAGAATGGTGGTAAGTCAGTGTTCCTAAGGTTGAATATTCCAAGTTGTGATTACCTGAAAGAAATGATGTCTATGTTGTTTGAGTGCGCCCTGGCCATCAGCATGGCCAGGTCATTGGCTTCTGAGCCACTGTTCACCAAGAAAATGACCTAGAGAGGAAAGGAAGACATGTGGCCTCATAATTTATTTCCTTATTACCCATTCATTTAAAATTGCTGAAGGGCATGTGTCCAGCCCCTGAGTATTAAGGAGAGTTCCCTTCACATCAGCTCGGATTACCCAGCAGTTCCATCATTTAACCACGTATGGATTCCATAGCCCTTCCTCCAGTAGCCGCTAAGTACTAGACGTACAAAAATGGCTAAGAGATTTTCTTCGCTGTGGAACATTCCGGGCTTTCATTGGCTTTATTTGATGGTCTGCAAAATGCCAAGAGAGGAGACTTGCTGAGGGGCACACAGCAGTGAGTAGCTGATAGATTCAAAGATTGGGTTTCTTGGCTCCTGACCCTAACCCACTCACCTGATTCTAAAGGCTTGGAACAAGACAGGACCTCTGACCCTGCAACTCCAGGGGTTGTCCCAGCCTGACTGTGCTGTGTGTGTGAATGTTGAAAAAACAAGTACACAAGCCGGGTGTGGTGGCTCAGGCCTATAATCCCAGCATTCTGGGAGGTTGAGGTGGGCAGATCACTTGAAGTCAGGAGTTTGAGACCAGCTGGCCAGCATGGTGAAACCCCATCTCTACTAAAAATACAAAAATTAGCCAGGTGTGGTGGCGGGCACCTGTAATCCCAGCTACTTGGGAGGCTGAGGCAGGAGAATCACTTGAACCCAGGAGGCAGAGGTTGCAGTGAGCCGAGATTGCACTATTGCACTCCAGCCTGGGTGACAGAGTGAGATTCTGTCTCAAAAAAAAAAAAAGAGAAAAAACAAGTAAACAAAAAATGCAGCTCAGCCTGGATGAAAGAACGGGGAGAATGAAAGCGAACTGTGCCCTCCAGACTCAGGGAGTGGAAGATGTGTGTTCGTGACTCTGCTGACTCTCTGCTTCTGCTCTTCCGTGAACATCTGGGGCTGAACTGAGGTTGCAGTTCTTCCAAGTTTCTTCATCTATTCTAGGTAATGTAGACAACATGGTAAAATAATAATAGCTAACACTCAAGACTAAGCGCTGTTCTAGGTTCTTCATATGTATTAACTCATTTAATGCCTAAATGCAAATCTTGGTCAACATTTTAACATCTCAGTTCAATTTAAAATATCAGTCATTTCAGATGCAGAAAAACAGCTCATGTAGAAAAAAATATCTAAGTGTATTTTAGACCAAATGAACCAAATAGCATTTATTAAAAATGATTTCACTCTTTGTAAAAGAAATGCAAATAACTTTGCAGAAAGTCTAAGGAGCAATGAGATAAAAACCTCTTGAGGACACAGATGAGAACATCAGCAGGCCTATGGCTCCCGGGAAATGATTTCTGCAAAGATATGGTGAGGAGAGCAACCAAAGAGAGACAGAGGCTCAGAGGTGACACAAGGGAACACTGGCTTGTTTCACCAGCAATTCATAAATTCCCTTCTGTCTGATTGCTTTCAGATGTAGCTGTCAGATCACCACTACAGATGTTCAATGCATAGACTAAATTTCCTGCCCATGTTCCTGCTTCCTAGGGCAGCTCCCCTGGAATCATAAGACTCCTGTCCCTTTGAGCTGGGAGCATCGTACCTTTTTTTCTCCCCATAAAATTCAGCTCCTGTAGGAAGAGCATTGTACCTTAAGAGGCTCAGGAAGAAGTGCGGCAAGCTTCTCTGCATATTCGTGCATTGGAGGGTGGAAGAAGACAGTGCTTGTATGCCACAGGCGACCGAGTTGCTTTTGTGCCACTGCGTTCACCTTCCTGGATAAGCAGTAGAGCAGTTACCTGCACTGCGTGTCACGCCCCTCCTGCACACACACTGGCCATTGGACCCGAACGTACTGTTTTTTCTCAAAGTGTTTCAAGAGGCAGATTTTATTTACACATGAGAATAAACTCCTTTAACCGCTACGGGTGTCCAGAAATGGGACGTGTTGCCTCAAAAGGTAATGAATTCCTCTCCAAAAGCAGGGTTCAAAAGAAGACTCAATGATTACAGGGATTTTAGAAAAGAAATGCCTAGTTTAGGAGGAAGTTTGGGTTTAGAATTTCTTCTAAGTATGCTTTCTTATTAGCCATTCTTTGAAGAGTTTGGAGAGATGACTAGTAAGCCTGAGTCCTTTCCATTTTGTTTTTCAAAGAAGAATAGATTCATCAAGCACATGTATGCAAGATCAATAGTTCTTCCCTCCCTCCCTTCCTTCCTCTCTTCCTCCCTTCCTCCTCTCCTTCTTTCTTTCTTAAGGGATGGGTTCTCACTATGTTGCCTAGGCTGGAGTGTGGTGGCTATTCACAGGCACAATCATAGTGCACTGCAATCTCCAATTCCTGGGCTCAAGAGATCCTCCTGTCTCAACCTCCTAAGTCGCTGGGACTACAGGTGCATGCTACCACGTCCGACTAAGATTAACAGTTTTTCTGCAGGGAGATTCTAATATCTGAGTCTGAACAGTGGTTAGTGTGGATGAACATTTTGTAACTATAAAGCCACATTCTTTGAAGGATTGGGCCAACCTTACAGGATTAGAAGTTTCATACTGAGAGATAATAGGGACTAAGGATGATAGATTTGTGGAACCTGACTTAGCTTTGAAAACACAAGCCAAGATGTCTGAACTTGCTGTAAAGGACATTAATTGCTAAAGTTTGTTACATACCAATTTTATTTGTTATTAATATCTTTCACATCAGAAAAAATCAATCCAGTGGGTAAATATTTTGAGAAATATCAGATTATACAGATGTCTTTACTATAGGACATTTAGTATCTATAATAGACTAGTGTACACTGTTTCTCTTCAGAAAGGATAAATAGTTTAAAGTGTTTCCCAAACTTATTTTCTCATGGGACCCTTTTCCAAGGAAACTCCTGTGATCAATGTTCCATGAAACTCACTTTAGAAAATCGTGGAGTATCAGTAAATTCTTGAAAAGAAGAGACACTTGACAAAAACATTGTCTAGTAAAATAAATGAAAGTCACAGGAGGGGTAAAAAAGATGGCTTCCCATTTCGACTGTCAATGTTATTGGGAAGATTCAATGAGAATGTTTGAACTCATTTTCTATTCCATTTTCTCTACTTCTTTCGTGTATGTTTGTCCTATGTTTGAAATTGCATCTGACATTTATTTTGGATACTTCTCGTGACTTTGCATGGGACTAGGGCCTCCTGATCATGAAAGAGGGTAGGAGAAGTGAAGGGGAGGAAAAGATGAGGGCTGAAACCCTGAGGCACACTCACTTCTTACCTCCTGACAGCTGTGTGAGGGGGGACTCTTGGCCTCCTGCTTTGACGGAAGGTCCCACACCTATTCAGTTTGTTTTAGACTTGCTGCTTTATTGCTTTCCCCTAACTTAGTGTGAGGTTGCATTGGTCAGATTATTAAAGGAAAGAGAGAACAGACATGAAATGAGAGCACTGCATGGAAACCAAGAATGCTCCAAGGGTATCTGTGTGGGCGAGTGTACCGTCATCACTGCAGATAATCTCTAGATTAATTGATCCATACATTTCCAGGTAAATTTCCAGCTAGAATTGCATATGTCTCTTATCATTCTTCTCTTCCTCTTCCATCTCTCAGAGGCCATGAGAAAGATTCCCCAGGCTAGAAGCTATTTCTCATCTCTCATCATCCCTTGCCTGACAAGCCTGTCATGTGTTTCTCTGAGGGCTGCCTGCCTTTCCCTTCCCTTCCTTTCCCTGAATGCGCCCCTCTCTTTGGAAAGCTGTTGCTAATGAGAAACACACAGCAAGACCCCAGTCATGTGGTACATGCCACACTACATGTGACATGAGAATAACAAAATCTTGCATTGTCAAGAAAAGGAAAAGTAGAGTGTCAAGATTTTGTACTCAGGAAATAGCAGGGAGTATGTCAGCCACAATCTGTCATAGATATTTTTTAACCAAGATAAGCAAATCAAGAGTTCGGAATCACTAGCATAATTGTTTTCCGTGCATTCTTTTGCAACAAAAATCCCCAGATTTTAAGGATACTCACGGGTGGCAGTGGCCAACACTGACAGTGACAATCCCGGAAAAGAAATCCAGGTATCTGTTTCCTTCAGCATCAAAGAGCCACTCCATGTGCCCCTGGTGGAGCAGCAGGGGTTTCTGGAAAAATGCCGTCACCACAGGAGAAAGGTGTTCCTTGTGGATTTCCAGGACATGGTTGTAGCCAAGGGACTGTAGATAAACAAGATTTAAACCTGCACACTTCTTAGAAGGTCAATGGCAGTCAATCTATGAGTAATAGTGCCCAGTCTCTCTAGTGGATGGAGCAGAGGGCTGCTAGCCTGTAGAGGCTCAGAAGTGGGTGTACTTACCCAATATCATCCTTGCAAGAAATTAAAGCCTTTTCTTTTAAGGAGGTGAATTATTATTTGTAGGCTTTCAATCTCTTTCTAGAAAAGTGCTGGAATTTCTACCTATCAATGAAAAGCCTTGGCTTTGAGTTGATTTTAACTATTAAAAAAATAGACTTTGGAAGTAAATATCTGAACTAATAAGCAATTAGTCTGAACTAATAAGTCATTTTTGTTGTGGTAGTGTTTTAAAAAATAAAAATGCAATGAAGTGCTAGTCATGTTTGTATCTTTAATTATAAAATATCTCTCCTGTATTTCTCTTCTTTGTGGATCCCTCATGAGTACCTATTGATTCTACAATTTCTAACCTGTAAGTATCATGTAGAATAAAGGAGTTGCTGTGTGTGTGTGCATGCACATATACATGCACGAGAGAGAGAGAGAGAGAGAGAGAGAAAGAGAGAGATAAAGAAAGAAAGAAAGAAAGAAAGAAAGAAAGAAAGAAGGAAAGAAACAGACAGAAAGAAAGAGAGAGAAAGTGAGAGAGAAAATGCCAGCTCAATCTTTATTAGCCTGAGAACAAAAATATAACTATAATTTTGGCTGGAGGGCTCAGGAAGGTCAGATGGCCACATGAGTCAGTTAAAACAGGAGCAACATTTACTTTAAAGCCAATATGTGCCATCACATTTGTGATGTGTGTGTATCTCCCTCCAATACATATATTAATTATCACGTATAGTGTGTTTCATGTACTGTCTGTCTTTGCCTCTGTCTCTGTCTCTATCTCTCACACATGGACACCAATTTATATACTAGCATTAAGGGAGTAAGAGGGTTTCAGATGCTTCCAATGACTTAGAGGTACAATATCTGGAATGAGATAGATTAGTGGCAAGCAGGGCTATTTTTGTGTCATTCTTAAGGAAACAATCAACTGAGACCTCCCCAGAGAAACCACCTCTTTGAGTGTTCTTAAAGCCCTGAATCTTACCTGGTATCTTTCAGGTATGAAGTCACATGGAGGCATTCTGGGCCTTGTATGGAGACTGAGCTTGGTTACTGATGTCCAGGAAGCACCTACCGAAAGTGAAGTGAGTTAGAATCCTCAACTAAGCCTGACATAGGTCTGTTGGTGAAAGTCACCTATAGTTATCCAAATAAAACTGCTTAGACAATTTTGTTTATTTCTTAGTGTAAAAATCATGTAAATCAGCTTTTAGTTTGGATTTAAAAACTGAGTATCTCAATAATGAGTTTTCTGGAGGAAAACTCAAATCTTCTCAAATCTAGTCTGGAAAAACAATCTACTGCAGTCCCTCGCAAGCTTGGGAAGCTCAGTTTAGGCAAACTGTCTGTATTAACCTCACCATGTTGATTCTCTCATCAGTAGGTAAAACTTCTGCCAGTGTGATGTGTTGTTGGAGTCCATCTTCTGTTGCTTTTTAGGCTTCAAGCTGCCTAGTGCCTGAATTCTAGTGTTTAGTCAGTGCCTGGTACCTGGTTAGCTGTCAGTACACATGGAATTAATGACTGTTGACTATTCTTGTAGGGAATGAGGAGAGGCAGGTGTTAGACAATACACTAGACTAATAAACACAGGCAAATAGACCCGGAAGACAAAACCTCCCCCACTCCAAAAAAACCTGCCAACACAAGACTGTGACAAAACAGGGATAAGCTGAACCAGATTCATTAAATATTTGGAGCTAGGAGGGACCTTACATTTGTGTGTGTGAGTGTGTGTGTGTGTGTCAAAATGCATACTTTATAGATAAGGAAACCAGCGTAAAGTGGTAAATTAATCTGTTTAAGGCTATCAAGCTAGTTAGGTGAAGAACGAGAACAAAACTCCTCTGGCTTCGAGCCCAGTGGTCTGTTTTGGTCATTCTTCAGCCATTTCCACCCTTCCCTGGTAGCACAGGTTTTGGCCCCTCCGCAGCAGTGGGATGGAATAATGGAATCAGAACGCTAGAGCTGGAGGAGGTTTCTAGAGAACTTACAAGTACTCCTAGGAAAGATGCTCCTAATTTTGAAGACTAAAGGTCAACATTAAGATGATTTTACAGGTGGAGAGAGCTGAGGAAATTATGTCTCTTTCTCAGCATGAAGGTTTGAATGCAAGAAAGAAATGTTAGTGTTTTGTGTGGCTATGAAGTCACAGTCCTGAGAAACATAATGAACAATTGTGTTTTTAAATGAAGATGGAAAGTAACAGCTCTGAATATATCTTCTTTCAAAGAGATCCCATTCACTTTTCTGCTCTAAGTAATCACTAATATCATTAATTTGTTCTTACTTTAAAAGCAAGTGACTTTTGGTTTTCCATGCATAGAAAGGACCAAAAAATTTGATAACTTCAGTTTTCTGAGAATTTCACCTTTTAAAAAGCTTCTCATTGTGTCTCTCTGCATTAGTTATGCTTCTGAGATGGAACAAAAATTCTGAGTGTTTCTAAGAATTCAAAAATCCTTTCATTTCTTCAGTCTAATTTTTCTGTCTGCAAAATTACAGTTGCCCATTGAGGAGGTTGGAGGCTCTCTTGACTCCAAGGTTATAGGATTTACGAAAGTAGGCTAGAGGGGGAAGGGAGTTGGAGAGAAAGACTTGATGAGGAAAAGCTTGAATTTTAAACAGTCAAGGCAGGTTTATTTATTCATTTATTCACAGAAGTGATAAGCATATGATGGTGGAGTGAGGGCTTCAAATGAAATACATGAAATTCTGCAAGGAAGAAAGAAGAGGAAGAAAGAGAAGAAGGGAGAAAGGAAGAAGAAAGAGGAAGGAAGAAATAGAGACAGATAGTAACGAGAAAGTAGGAGAAATATAATAGGAGTCAGTAAGTGAAATAAATCTGGATAATACCTCCAAATCTATTGACTGTCATATCACCCCTCTTAATAAATAACTAAAACTCAAACATAATAGTAATAATGTTGGTATTTGATGGGCAGAAAGAAATAAAACTGCTTTGGTTTTTATTATTTGCCAGAAAAAAATTAAAATCTAATTATCTAGATAATTGCATGCATTCTTTATTCAAAATAGCCTGGGTTTTGAGGATGATGTAAGAGTTGAGGGTTCATAAAGCTTTCTGGGGCTCCTGGAGATTGTGTATGTGTGTATATGCATATGCATACCTGTATGTGTGTGTGTGTGTGTGTGAGAGAGAGAGAGATGGAGGTAGAGGGGAAGGAATGAATGAGATAAGGATTAATAAAACCACATCCAAGGTCTATTTGTGAATAGGTATTTGTTTTGTTTTGTCTTATTGTTTTAACTAATTGGATAGTGTCTTTTTAGGCTAAACAGATGACAACTAATGATTTTCATCCAATTCACCAATTTTCACATCAATTCACATGAGCAACTCAAGACATTGAAAGATGGAATTCAATTTGGAGAACAGCATCGCTTTTGCATAATAAATGCCAAGTGGGTAACTAGCAAGCTTTCATTTCCCAGCTGCCTAATTCTCACAGAGTTCTATAGCTTACAGGTCACCGTAACTTTGTTTTCTTTCCCCAAAATCATGATGTCAAATGACAAAAACTGTTGGGCAAAGTAAGTGAGAAAAATCCATTTTTTTTGGCATTTGGAAACTCTTGGGAAAATTCTCTTTGTAATGATAAAGAGTTTTTCAGTATTCATAGCCAGTTTTCAGCCCAGAGGGAGTATTTATTAAGGGCTTCCTCCCCTTTTAAAATGAAAAAAAGAATCTAAAATATTTGAAAATATGCAGTGGACACAGTGTGATTTATTAAAATGCTAATTATTATTATTATTATTGAGACAGAGTCTGGCTCTGTTGCCCAATGCTCATATAATGTGTTAAAATAACGACATGCTATCTCAGCTGCAATAATTTTAAAAATCAAGGAAAGCATTCAAAATAAAGTATGATTTTAATTTACAGATGCCCAGGGATGATTTCTTTTTTTTCCCTTTTTTGAGACAAGGTCTCCCACTGTCAAACAGGCTGGAGTACAGTGGTGTGATCATGGCTTACTGTAGCCTCGACATCCCAGGCTCACACAATTCTACCACCTCAGCCTCTTGAGTAGCTGGAACCATAAGCACATGCCACCATGCCCAGCTATTTTCCTTTTTCTACTTTTAATAGACATGGAGTCTTACATGGAGTGCAGTGGTGGAATCTCTGCTCATTGCAACCTGTACCTCCCAGGCTCAAGCAGTCCTCCTATCTCAGCCTCCCTAGTAGCTGGGACCACAGGTGCATGCCACCACACCCGGCTAATGTTTTGTATTTTTAGTAGAGACCGGGTTTCTCCAGGTTGCCCAGGCTGGTCTCGAACTCCTGAGCTCAAGTCATCTGTCTGCCTTGGCCTCCGGAAGTGTTGTGATTACAGGCATGAACCACTGAGCCTGGCCCCAAATGCCAATTCTATCTCATTTCTGTATAGCATCTTAGGTAACTTGAAAAAAATCTTGTCACATTTGGAATCTCATTTAATTCTTAGGATAGCCAATGAGTTAGGAAAGGAAGATTTCATCCTCCATCCACCTTAGAGTGGAGTCAGTGACAGATGGAATTTGAGGCCTTGGCAGTTTTGAAGTCCCTCACTAACGTCGAGGGTTTGAGACACCGCCTCCCATGGAGGCCTGCTGAAGCTGTGTTGGTGTTTGGATGCCTGAGTGACAGTGTCTGGTCGGCAGAGAAACTGTTTCTCCTCTGCTTCCCTGTCCTGGAGCTGCCAGCTTGGAGACTCCAGAGTGGTCCTTTCTCCTTCACTCATGGGACTGCAGTCTGCAGGACACTGCCGAGGACCCTCGCCATTGCTATTGGGTATCATCCAGCTCAGAACGTGATCTCTCGCAGCCCTCTCTGTGGAGGTCCCCTCTGTCCCGTGCGTGCTCTGGGTGAAAGGATGACAGCGATGAATGCCAGGTGCCTGCATCCCCCCAGCAAAGCTGCTAAGAGGCGGTTCCTACGAGAATTTACTCTACTCCTGCCTGGCCTTCCTTGGCTTCTTTGCGTGTGGGGTCCTGTCCACCTCCTCAGCCTCCTGTTGATTCTTTCAGCCGCCCTCCCTCCTTGCCTCCATTCCTTCATACGCTTCCAGTATATGCCCTTTTGCTGAAGCCAAACAGGGGCAGTTGTGTCTGTCCACAAGCGAGAGTGCTGCTCGATTCCTGATTCTGAGGTGAGTGGGTCTTCCTTCTGCATGTTTGGGAGTAGTCATTCTCTGTGATCACCCTTCTTGGCCCTTGGCATGTGTTAAATCAGTTCTGACTGTGGCAAGGCTGCCTGGAGGGGTGCACATGGGAGGCCCCCCTTTAGGGCAAATTTTAAATGTTTTCTTAAAATAGCCTTGGCAGGAATGGAGAAACATCTCAGCTGGAAATGGATTACTTTTTGGGCCCCCCTTCCTTTGTGGGAGAGCAGGCATATATTAGGAAATTGCTAAAGGGAGCACATACCTCAGCCACCTGCAAATGTTATACATTTCACAGTCATTAGCTAATTGTAGGAAAGAATGCCCCACTGAGATATTTCTCTACACTTTTGTACTGAAAACAAATTGCTTCCATAACTTTGCATACAGTTAGCCCAAAGTGATTGTGCATATCAAAACGTAAACAAGGCTGGACATTTTAGGCATATGAATATTGTATAGTAATTATGTAGATACTATGCAAGAATTGTGACTTATTTATTTTTGCATATATAACAATACTTGAAATATGGTAATCTCCTTACCACAGCCCCTTCCCTTCCCCCCTCCCCCATTATATTTTTCTATTCCCTTTCCAGATTTGGTTTTATCCATGGTATGTTTCTCCACTGGATACATACATAAATACATACATACACACACATATATATATTTACATATTTACTTACTCGTTTATGTCCATGTCCTTCCTGAAATAGAGGGCAGGGGCTTTTTCTTGCCTATTGTGGCTAAGTCTGCAGCACTGGTGCATAATAGATGCTCATATATTTTGCCTGAATGTATATTTTGCATGTGGCAGGTGCTCCCGAAGTGTATGTTCAGTGAGTGTGTGTTTAGAAGAACAAGCACAAGCAAGCGTAGACCTAGGTAGAGTAGGTAAGAAAGTAGACATAAAAGTCCCAAAGGTTTTTGTAAGGCCAGGTAATGAGGATGGCATTCAGTCTAGGTGGTGTGGTTTTCAGACTGCTCCTTCGTAGTGTCCTTGCTGGGCCTATGGTAAGGCATCCCCAATGAGTTGATCAAGATCTCTAGGTACTAGGACTCACCTGCCCTGTCTAGGTTATCTGCTGCTCCACTGTGCAGCTACACAATGCTCAGAGGTTGGGGTAGGAGAGGGGAGGGGGCAGCCTAGGGCATTTCTCTTGCTAGGTCAGCAGCTGGTACTTTCAGCATAATTTCCTCCTCACTGAGCATAAGACTGGGTATAATTTTACCTGCTTCTGAGAAAACGTTGGAGTTAAGTGATGTTCTGGCAAAAAACTCATGACCAAGGGAAAAGAGCAGTTCAAACAGGACTGGAAGACTGGGGGAGGATAGACAGGGCCTGGTAGAATCTCTCCGAGTTTGGAGTCAGATAGGCCTGGCTGTGAATCCCAAGTTGTCACTTACATTTTTCTGCCTTTGACCACATTTCTTAGATATTCCTTATTCCCCTGTCTCCTCATCTGTGGAATGAGATAATAGTACTCACTAACGAGTTTGGTTGAAGATAAAAGGACATAATGCATTGAAAGCATCATGCATGTATCAAGTTTCAAAAAATTGCAATTTTCAGGAGGAAGAAAGCAAAGAGGAGAGGAAGGAAGGAGGGTGAAAGGGAAAGATGAGGAGAAAATGAAGACAAAGTTGGTCACGATGGGGAATGGAAAATGGTCCCCATACCTGTTTAGGGCCTGTGAAGCACAGGCACATAAATGTACAGACAGCTGCTTAATCTCATGTTTGCCTGAGGGAATTTGCTGGGGAGGAGGTGGGGCTTTCGTGAAACAAGATCCTTGTGAAAATCACAGGCACATAGGACATCACTCATAAAGCCACCAATGTCTGGTTACCCTGCATCTCCTCATATTTCCTGTTCTTGCTGCAGAGAGGAGAGTTTGAGTGGATGGGGAGCGCCTGGGGTCAAGTCCTGGCTTGTATGACTCTGGGTAAATCACAGCATTTGTTGGTAATTGAGACAATGGTCTCACTTCCTAGAGGCATGATGAAAATTCATGCAGATGCTTTATGTTTTTAAAAATAGTCATCCAAACCAGGTGCAGTGGCACAGGCCTGCAATCCGAGCACTTTGAAAGGCTGAAGTGAGAGCATTGTTTGAGCCCAGGAGTTCAAGACCAGCTTGGGCAGCACAGTAAAACCCCACGTCTACAGAAAGTTAAAAAAGAAAAATAGCTAGGCATGGTGGCATGTGCCTATAGTTCCAGCTACTCAGGAGGCTGAGGTGGGAAAATTATTTGAGTCTGGGATGTCAAGGCTGCAGTGAACCATGATCACACCACTGTACTCCAACCTATGTGACAGAGGGAGACCCTGTCTCAAAAAAGAAAAAATAGAAATCATCCTTGGGCATCTGTAAGTTGAAGTCACACTTTATTTTGAATTGCTTTCCTTTGGTTTTTGAAAGTATTGCAGCTGAGATAGCATGTCATTATGTTGAAATTAAGCATAGTCGGGTTTTATTATCCATGAATTTCATTTCAAAATAAAAGGGAGCATTACAAAATATTGGCTATGAAAATGGGGCATTGACTCAGGGTGAGAACCTGTGTATTAAAAACATGCCTCATCTCTAAGACCTCATCCAGGTCTAACATTCCAGAATCCCAGGCAGCAGCCTTCAGAGCTCAAGTCTTCCCCTCTCGCTGATCCCCAACTGACCCATGTCCCCCTGGTTTCCACTTACGGCTCAGGAAAGGACGCATCTCAAGGATCCTGGGAGCAGAGGTGACCAGGCACAAGGGTCTCAGCAAATGTCTCCAGACTAGAGTCATCTCTCCCACTCAGGAAGCAAACCCCCATGGAAGTAGGTTGGAGGTCGGGCTCTAACTGCTCACTATCCTTGCTGGACTTTGAGATTAAGATGGGGAGGAGGCGCTAAAAGGGGAATCCTGGAGTGGTGACTGTCCATGGCTTCAGGCAAGCCCCAGAGCTCTCTATTGCTAGTAACAGTGCCTTCAAGGGGGGAGAAAAAGAGAGTGAGGAAAAGCGGTAGAGAGAGAGTGAAAGTAGGAGGGACAGAGAGAAGAGGAGAGAAAAGAAAGGAAAAGAAGAGAACAGAAAGGAAGAGGAAAGAAAGCAGGCAGATAAAGCAAAGGTCATCTGACGAGTTCTGTTAGTTTAGTATTCCATCGGGGTTTCATCCGGGTACACTTTTCTCTGCAGGACGGTGGTGCTGGGTGTGGGAGAAGGATCAGGACATGGTTGAAGGGGTCAGAGACTGAGAAATGAGAGATGTGACTAAGGGAGCAAAAAGGAGGATATGCATGAAGTGAATGAACAAATAAATTGGTTTTGGGGGTCTTAGAGAAAGAGAGGAGAAAACAATGGGGAAGGAGCCATTCCAAAGAAATCAGAGAGTACCTAATAACTAGGTAAAGTTCTGGACAGTTGTGGATCCTCTTATGTGTCTGAGGAAGGCAAAAGGTTGAGAGCTGAGGAGTTAGTGTGCCTTATTTTCATTATTTCTTAAATTCCCATTTATCCCACTCCAGCCTCCCCCTACCTTCTTCAATCCCCATAAGCACCTATTTAGCGTGTTTACATGTATCCTTTTCTTGGCACACATTCTTGTAGAATGTGTATCCTTTAGGGTGAATGCAGTTTTAATTTATGTCAATATGTGTACTGTGTGTCTCTTTTCCTTTCCCGTTAGATCCATGTTTTTAAGATCCAATCAGGTTGTGAAGGGTACATCTCTTCCAGGTTTCCCACTGCTTCAGAATGGGGGCCACGTGCTCTACATGGCAGTGCCCAAGGGGGACAGTGACAAAGTTGATTGCAACTAGGGGGTCCAGGGAGTGGGGATGGGTAGATATCATTAATCTTGGATCACGCTGTAGGGGAGACAACTGACTTGGCCACATCCTTCACAAACACCTGCGTAACAGCTGTTGACTCTGAATGCCCGTGGGAGATGAAGGTGTTAGGTAAGCACAGGGAATATGTTATATTCAGTATAATTGTCCCTTTTCGTGTGGGTTTCCAGCTCCCAGTCAATTCTGCTTTGGGGGCGGTAGGGAGTGATCATATGAGCTGGCTGGTCATGTGCTGCAGGAGTAATCCAAGTCAGTGAGGCCACACAGCATCTCCCTGGGGTGCACAGTCTGTCCTGTGGTTGGTCAGAGGGGAGAAAATGTTGAGTTCCTGAAGTCTGGTATATGCTTTTTAGCTCTACTGGACTGTGGTCAGTTTTGCCTTTGTGAACACCGCAGGCTGCAGTCTTCTTTGGCTTGAGATTTTTCTTGGGCTGTAAGATTTGAGATTTTTATAGTGAGAGACACTTGACATCAAGGGGTCACCTAGAGTGGGGCAGAAAAACAGTACATTCTGAATAACTTCTAGAGGAAAAGTGGGAGGTTATACCTCTTTTATTTAAAAAGAAAATAAATTGTTCTGATTACCATAATTGTTGGTATATAAATTATTGTTCTGATTACCATACTTTTGTTAAACAAAGTCAAGCCTAGGAAAGAATAAAGAAGAATGAAAAAGATCACAACAAATCTGACAGTTATATTTTAGTAAATTTCCTTTCAGAAATCTTTCTCTACATGTGTATATCTGTGTATGCATACGCTGTTTCAAAAACTGAAAGTCTTCATATTTTTTATTTAATAAATTCCTTTTGATGGATAGCTATATTTTCTCCAGCATTCTAGGACAGAGAATTTTCTGCACTTGACTAATTATTTTTTTCTTCAGATAAGTTCCTTGAAGAAGGATTCCTAGGCCAAAATGTATGTACATTTTAAATGCATCTCAGTAAGATGACATCAATTTATAATTCAACTAACTAAAATTGCACAAAACTATGTGTGTGTATATGTGTGTGTATATATATATATATATAAATAAATATGTATATATTTATTTATTTTTTGGGGGATGGAGTCTCACTCTTGTTGCCCAGGCTGGGGTGCAATGGCACGATCTTGGCTCACTGCAACCTCTGCCTCCCAGGTTCAAGCAATTCTCCTGCCTCAGCCTCCCGAGTAGCTGGGATTACAGCTACTCCACGCCCAGTTAATTTTGTATTTTTAGTAGAGACGGGGTTTCTCCATGTTGAGGCTGGTCTCGAACTCCTGACCTCAGGTGATCTGCCCACCTCAGCCTCCCAAAATGCTGGGATTACAGGCATGAGCCACTGCGCCCGGCCAGACAAAACTATATTCTAAGATGTTTGTTCTTTTGAACTCTGTAGAATTACATGATATCCAGAAACTCTGAAAACTGAGATGAGGAGGAAACTTATATTCCTCTAGAGCTTCATTCTCAGCCTAGGAGTCATTTGGAATATCAATCCAAGATCTTACCCTACCTTCACAGATAAAACTCCAATTAAACAGCTATTTCTGAGTTATAAGCAACACCTGCTGAGTCTCTCTGTTCTCTCTCTTTTGAGCAGATCAGGTATAATTTTCTCCATTTTACATAAAACTAGAGAAGATGAAGAACTATCTCAGTTTGCACAAATGGTAAATAGGAGGGGAGAAGACTTTCATCAGGTAGGAAAATACAGAAATTTCTCCTTGAAAAAAAATACTCCACAAATTGGGAAACTTGGAAATTCTGTTGTCACGTTAGGAATTATTGGGGAGGATTTTTGCACAGAGGTTCACCAATGATTTATCAGTTAAGTCCTGAGTGTAACTGAACTTTGTTCTGCCCCAGGCCTTCTGTCAATAACAGAGTCCAGTAAGTCTCTGAAGATAATTAACAGCTTTTCCAAAGTAATCCTTTCCCTCTCTCAACTTGTTTAGGAGTTGTGAAATTGAAGAAAAGGAAAATCGTTTTGGAAGGATTTCAGATAAATGTAGACGGTTTACATGAAACTTCATATTACAGGTGTTCCATTTCACAGTTAATGGACTACGAAGAATGCTGTGTGCAAGGTGTTCAGACTGAGGTGCAGAGATTAGCAGGTGTGTAAGAAGAGAATAACTGCATAAAGATGTGGCCAGTAACCCTTAGAATTTCATGGAAAACTGATCTTCTTGAAAAATAATACAAGGTCAAAGTCTTTTTGTTTATTTATTAGGACTCTTTGAACAAGTCTCATCGGAATTATTGGACTTACTATGTTTTAGAAAGTAGCATTCTGGAGAGAGCTAGGGACACATGGATTAACTCAGCTTTAGGACGGAGAGCACATCCATACTGCTCACTGCATGCATAGCACAGTACCTGGCATACAGTGTTCATCAAGTATTATTCAATAATGTATGTGGTAGAATGATTCACAGATAATTTGTGTGGGAAATATTTGTGTTTAAATGGAAGATCCTGAAAATACAACTCAATCTCTTTTTGGTAGAATGTATGGCAAGATCTTTTTGAGCATAGGCCCTTCTCTTAGCAGTTGGGATTTTCTAGTTGTTCATTCCCTTGAACTTTACAATCAAGGCTTAATTATTGTTTTCAATCACAGTAAGATGAGAGTCCTTAGAGTTTGGTTCACTACGCCTGGGATTGTTCCTGTATGGGGGAAGAGCTGTTCCCAAGCTTAGGGCTCTCATTTACAGTGAATTATCTCACAAGGATCTTTAATTACAAAGACCTTTAATTATATCCTGTTACTATTGTGATCATTACAGAACTGGCTGATTACAATAATTCAAATTGCAAAAGAAAAATGAAGGAAGGGTGCATCAGATGAGAAGGAGAGAACTGTTTAGCCACCGAAAGGAACAAATTCTCAACTAGAAGAAAACAAAATCTAGCTTATGCTGTTTTTAAAAGACACACCTAAAACATAATGATACAGAAAAATTAGGAAGTAAAGGAACGAAAAGAAACTTACCAGAGAATTGCTACTCCCAAGAAAAGCCAAATTAGCAATATCAGTATCAGAAAAAATAAGTTTTAAGACAAACGTGACCATTATAAATAAAGGGGATTGTATGTAGCAATGAAAACAATAGTTTATTTGGAGGATTGACCATTTAAATCTGTATATGCCCAATAATACAGCCTCAAAAGATATAAAGCAAAAATTGACAGAATTATAATAAGTAGAAACTTACTTAATCCTAGAAGATTTTAACTTACTTATAAATCACCTCCAAAAATGATATCTTAAGCAGCAAAAAAGATGAACCTCATTAATGCAAAAATCCTAAATAAAAGTTTAGAAAATTGAACCTAATAATGTTTGCAAAAATACTTCACGTGTGAGGTTTATCTCAAGAACGCAAGGCTACTTTAACCTTAAAATATACTCTCCAAAATAATTTTCTGTAATAACTGACACATTAACAGATAAAAGTCACATGAACATATCAATAGATATAGAAAAAATTTGAGAAGTTTTAAAATTAGTTAAGATAAAAAACTATCAGCAAACTAGAAATATAAAGGAACACCTTTCACATAACTAATGGTATCTGAAAAATTGTAGGGGCCCAGCAGCAGTTCTCTCTGACCTGCTGCCCTCCTGTCTGGTCCCTCGTTCTCTCCAGAGGCTGGCCATAGAAACTGGAATCTCACTTCCCCAAGGCGGGTCATAGAAACTGGAACCCTCTTGCCCTAAAGTCAGTTTTACAGTCTAAAAATATTACTATCACTTTACACAGTCTTTCTGTGTAAAAACTGACCATGAATAACCTGACCTATCTTGTTTGACTGTAGGTCATAAGTTCCACTTTCCAGAGAGGGTCCTGCCCCGTACCCAGAAGGAAGGAATGGTGAGAGGCATTGCTACAGAGAGGCCAAGAAAAACCCAGACAGACAGGCCTTGCTAGGTTTTCTCACTCAGTCTATTGGCTTTAGGTCCAATCATTTTCCTACACAACTGTCCATACTTTGTTGAAACTAAGCATAAAAATGGACAGTTTCCTCTGTATCTTTGGGTCTTCATTCTGAAGGCTCCCATGTCACACAAAACTATAATCAAATAAATTTGTATGCCTTTTCTCCTATTAATTCAACTTTTGTCAGTGACTTTTAGTGAACCCTCAGAGGACAAAATGGCAGCTTTCCTCTCCTCCCTACAACACCTACATGATGCCTTATATGTAATAGTGAACTTTTCACAGCATTCTTGTTAAAGTCAGGAAGAAGAAAGAATGCCCATAACACATTTCTATTTAACACTGTCCTGGAAGCCCAATAAAATAGATGAAGAAAGAGAAATAAGAGGTATTTCTCTTATTAAAAGAAGAAACAATGTTGTTAGTCTGTGGTGATACAGTTGTAAAAATGGAAAATCCAAGAAAACCTACAAATTATAAGAACATTAATTAGAGTTCAGTAAGGTTGCAGGATGCAAGATCAGTATTAAAACATCAGTGGAACTGGGCATGGTGGCTCATGCCTGTAATCCCAGCACTTTGGGAGGCCGAGGCCGGTGGGTCACCTGAGGTCAGGAGTTCAAGACAAACCTGCACAACATGGCAAAGCCCTGTCTCTACTAAAAATGCCAAAATTAGCTGGGTGTGGTGGTGTGGGCCTGTAATCCCAGCTACTCGGGAGGCTGGGGCAGGAGAATCACTTGAACATGGGAGGCAGAGGTTGCAATGAGAGGGTGCCTAGGGATGAATCTAATAAAACATATGCAAACATTTATGAAGAACAATGTAAAGTTTTATTGAAGCCCAAGGTAAAGGAAGTGATATACCATGTTCATGACTAAGAAGGCACAATATTATAAAGATGGAACTTCTGGCATTAAAACATAAATTCAATCTAGCTCCCAACACAATTTTTTAGGAGATCGATAGGCTCATCTAAAATTCATATGATGAGTAAATGGCCAAGAAGAGCCACAACAATTCTGAAGAAGAGTATGGTGGTGTGAGAATTAATTTACCAGATAACCAGACTTTGTATAAAATATGGTAATAAAGCAGTGGAGCACCAGGGCAGGAATAGATACCCAGAAAAACGGACCAGAAAAGCCTGGATTAACATTTGGGCGTATGTAGACAATCAGAAGACCACAAAGATGGCATAAAAGATAAGCAGGAAAAGGATGACTTACTCAGATACAAATGGATTTATCAGGGAAATAAAAAGTAAAATAACAATGCATCATTTTATGCTCATTGAATTGTCAAACATTAAAATATCTGACAGCACCAGGTAATGATAAAGATGAAGAGAAATGGAAATTACTACACTAAAGGTAAGGGTACACATCAGTAAAACTACTGTGGAGAGGAAGAAATTTGTCAGTATCTAGGAAATATTAAGATATGCATTTTATAAGACCCAACAATTCCACCTCTAGGTGTATATTTTGGAGAAACTTTTGCACATATTCCAATGAGACTGGCATAGGAATACTCATTGCATAGTCACTTATGACAGTGAAAATCAAATGTTGCTAAACAGGGAGATTAATAAATTGTATATATGTGTAAAATTATAGCAGTGGTATACACACAACTTTTGCCATTTATGGCAATGAAAATTAAATATTGATAAATAGGGAGATTAATAAATTATACGTATGTATACAATTACAGCAGTTGTATGCATAAAGCAGTGGAAATTAAATGTTGATAAATAGGGAGCTTAATAATATACAACTAAGCAGCTGGAGCTATTTGTATCTCAAAAACCCAATGCTGAATGAAAAAAAATCAAAGTGCATAATGTTATCTGCTATTTTTTATGCAAAACTCATAAATACCAAACTAATTGGTCATGTTATTTAAGGATAGATAGATTTGAGGCAAATACATTTTAAAAATAGCTGGGAAGGATATATAATAACTTTAGGATTGTAGTTACTGCTGAAGAGAGAGGTAGAGAATTTGGTTGTTGAGGGATGTAAATGCCAGTATCTGTGATATTAAATGAATGTTTGTTAAAAAAAGGAATAGACAAGGCAAAATATGAATATTTATAAGATTTGGATGTGGGTAAATGAATCTTTGTTATGTTTTTCTATATATTTTCAAGTATTTGTGAAATATATTATGCAATAAATAAAAGATCACAAATGGATGATGAACTCACAGTTGGTTTTAAGTAAAGACATTGAATAATTTTAGTCAGGAAAACACAAACAAAAGAAAATGTGAACCTTTGGCCCTGAGATTTGTGGCTTGTTAAATGAAAGTTGATCATATCTCAGGTTTGGAAACTTGGGAAAGTTGATCGAATCTCAGGTTCGGAAACTCTCCTTTTGATTGTTCTTGGTTGTTCCCAGGAGAAGTTCCAAGAAACTTCTGGGTGCTTCCAAGCATGCTTGCATTTTCAAGACTTGAGTCTGGCAGATGAATAAAGACTGGGGAAATGTATGTTCAGTTTTGATTTAGAATTAGTAGGAAAATAAAATCAGAGCTGTTCAAAGATAAGCACAAAGATTTCTGCTTGAAAAAAATGCCACCTGTAAGTGTCCTAAGATAAATGTTTTGGCATGTGTCTGCATACTTTATTTTCAGAGTTAAAATGCAGTTCCCCCTCCTTCTTTTAAAAAATCTATTCTAATACATTTTGTTGTGGCAAAGAAGAAAAACTTGTTTCAAGTTAAATTTTTCATGTAATGTATATTTCACATACATATATAAAGACCCTACAAAAACCATTGCTCAGGTAATAATTTATTAAGTCAATTTAAACTAAACATTGCTACCATTGCAAAAGCATTTGCTCTGAAAAGGGACTGAAAAATGCATCATAAAGTTACATAGTTCAGCAACAATATCAATATTGATTATGTAAAGTAAAACTACTGCAAATGTCATTTAAGCTTACCCTGTAATTTTTAATAACTTTACAAGGAGCAAATGTGTCACCTTAAAAATGTACCAGTGGCATTTACAAATTCTTTCAAACTCATTTACAAATACAGTAATAAAAATTCCTGAGCTACCTTTTCTTACACCAGTGTTCACCAATCAACATCCACGTAGTGTTTTATTTGACCGACATCCTCTTTCTTTTTCTTAAGAAAATATTTTATCACATTTGTAAAAGTATCTGTGCTTCAAGTCAGTTTGTAAGTATCTGTTTTTAATGTGAACCTGATCATAACAAGAGAAAAATGCTTAACATTAGCAGGGGCAACAGGAATTGAGGGGTGGTGTGGGGGATGGTGGAGGAGATGTAGATACAAGAATTCCAGTTTAGGTATTGGGACCTCCAAAGTAGAATGCATCTGCCAGTATCAAAAACAGGCTCAGTTTCATCTGCATGGTTTTAAGGGACTTTCAAAGGTAAAGCCAGCAGGAATTATTCTGCATATTCTGGCAAGGAAGGTCCCTGTTGGGGGCTTTTCAATAATTCCATTTCTCATCCTTCTCCCCCGTCCCCCCACTGCTCCCTTACCCCAACATTTCAAAATTTCTATTAAATGGAAGTTGCATCTTTCAGCCGCCAAAAAACTGGGGAGATTTACAAGGTATAAAACTTGATTAGTAAGTTGTAGGAAACCTGACAAGGTTAAAGTGTCAGATGGGAATCTGGCAAGATGTGGCAATATTTAATTTCTGTTTTCTTTCGGGAAAGTATATTCAATGCTTTTGAAAAATTAGTTACATATTACTTCTCCAGCCTACCATTAATTGTATAGATCCTGTGTCTGGTGACTGAGACTTCAAATTTTGCACCTTAAAAATGTAAGAGGACCCAAGAATTAAAGGCAGATGGCTTCAATATAAGCACAGGAGAGCTAGCACTTCTTTGACTGAAGCCAAGTTTTTTAGAGCATGATACTCAAGTAAGAAAGAAATTTCTCATTCTTCTGTAAGACATGGCATTAGAGAATTAAGAGGGGGCAGAGAAGAACTTGGAAAGCAAAATCACACACCATTTCACAATTCTACAACACAAACATGAACAGTAAGTGAAACTTTCTAGTTCTAGATCCATTAAAAGATTATCCATTTGCACTTCATCTGATGGATTTTGTCAGAAAAACTGTTGTTAGCAATATGAATAAATAATAACTGTTCAAAAGGATTCCCCACTTAAAAAAATGCTTTGGTTTTTCCATTATTTCACAATATTTAAATAAGCTTCTCTTATTGGATCTCCTTATATCTGGTTCCATCTCCCCTCATTTTTCTCAGGCTCCCATGCTATAGGGATGAGGTAAAGGAGGGAAATTTTGTCTTGCAATCATATGGAAGGGTGGACATAGAGGGGAAGAACTTTTTTTGTCCCACTTACATAAACAACGTCCTGATTATAGATCTTTTAGCAACAAGCAATGTCCAAAAAAATGCTTCAGCCATGAATGTGTTATTTTGCTCATCTCCATTTCAAATAAAAAAATAGGGCAAGAGTAGGTAAGGGAATTAAGCATTTATTAAGCCAGGCACTGAGCTGGGTATTTTCAATAATGATGTGAATAGAAATATAATGAACACATTATATTGGGATGTCTAAGATTTTGTTTGGCAGGCATTGTTTTTGGCATGCAATGAAAATGAAGATGTTATGATAGCAGTTAGCATTATCTCCAATCTATTGACAAAGATTTAACTACCCATGTTGTCCCCTCAAAATAGAAGGAGACAAATGAATAAACCCATGGAAAACAGAGAGCACAATGTGCCACAAGCAAAGATTTACAGAATGAAAAATGCCAAATAACAAATCAGATAACTATAGTCTTCTATAAATCTTTAAGTCTAAAAAAATAGACATTACAATAACTACATACAGAAATGAGTTTTTAAAATCAAAACAAGATTATTCCTGGTAAATGGCTGACTTTTCCCATATCATACTATGTTTGATGGCTAAAATCAAATAAGGAAAAGGATTATTTCTAGGGGGGTTACAGAAGTCAATTTGTAAGAGATATCATTATCATGGCTTTGGACAACTATGAGGTGACTTATAGTTAGGAAAAAATCTGCACTCTATGGTTTTTCTGGTTTTTCATCTGATGACGTACTAAGTATTCTTTCTGAACCTTTCTTGCAGCCAGTTTTTATGAAATGTAAAAATGTAAGAATGGTTATTCAGAAACTCTCGCATAACCCTGCAAAGTGATGAATTAGAAGGTGTATATATATGTGTGTGTGTGTATATATATATGTGTATATATACACCCAGCAACTTAATTATAACAATTACCTCTAATATATGTGTGTGTGTGTGTGTGTGTGTATATATATATATATATATATACCCAGCAACTTAATTATAACAATTACTTCTAATTTCTCACTTAGTGTTGGGGAATTTTGCTTGGCATTTTCTAGAGAAAGAGGAAAAGCAGAGGTAGTGGTAGCTTTGAAAATATGGAACCTTATGCTATTACATATAGCTTCACTTCAATATGGCTTTACAGAAGACACAGTCACCCAACAGGCTGGTTCTAGATTGCTTTGGTTTCCACATGAGACTTTTCAATTGTTTAAAATGAATGATGAAGCACAAAAGCAAGCCTCATTACACAAAGAACACTTGAGAAGCTTCAGCAGTCACAGGAAACAAAGCCGAGAGGTTGACTTTTAAACAACTGTTGGATTGTACTTTAAATGTGTAACACCCTAGAGCAGCTGTACAATGAATGACATAGAATCCTTCTTCTAGACAAAGATTAAGAAAAAAATTAGTACATTCACCGTTTCAACAGAAATACATTACATATTTTTTCAGTTTTTTTTACAGTCATAGACACAATAATATTGCAACTACATATGGATAAATTGTAAGTTATTAAGTAATGATTTTCATTTGTATTACATGATGAGTTTCACAACATGAGGATTACATATTTCAGTATGGCGTATACTATTTTTGAACCACATAAAGCAATATAGTACTAAATAATGTAACAGTTACTGTGAAGTCAGGAATGCCACTTGGCAAATACATCAAATATGCCACCAAAAACCAGTCAAAACATGAGACGTGACATCTTTCATTTCTAAACTCTATGCAGCTTTGAAGGAAGGACATTAGGACACAAAGGGGAGGTAGTTACTTTAAAAAATTCACAATTAGCTTTTCAGGAATTTCATAAAACAAATTATTTTTCAGAAGTATCTTCACCATATAGTTTTTCAGATAACAAGGAAAAAGGATTTTTTCCTCAGGATTTGTAAAGTGTGCACAAAAAAACTCAGACTACATTTTGAGGTTTATCCAAGTGAAGCCTAATTTGACCATAACTAGTAAAGGTTATTTTTTATATTACTACTTCAGTTGCTGAAGGTTTTAGGGTTTCTTTCTTTTTAATCAGCAGCAAGTAGAATGTTAATGAGTAGATGAAGATTATCTGAGAGTTAATTAATAGACTAAGGTTATCTGTGGTCTATTTATCGACCACACCTTATAAACAAGATAGGTTTTTCCTGTTTTGAGACTTTACGTGTCTCAATACTTTCTAAATTGAAAACAGAGCATTAAATCAGGGGAATTGATGTGGATAAAACAGCTGCCAGCATGATAGTGTTTGTGAATTATGTACCTCTCTTGGACATAAACTCATAAAATCTGTTCAGAACACTGAACATATTTAGATTTGCCATATCCAATAAAATTTGGATTTAGTGGGTTAGTCTCAGCATTTCCTGGAATCCTGAGATGCCCAGATCTCTCTGGAAACTTCCTATTTCCTATTTTACTATCTTTTTCCTTTTATTGAAATGGGTGCCATGAGGGTCCTAGACCAAAACTCACCATCCTGAAAAACAAAAATCTGGGGAGAGAGCTCCTGTTTTATTTTCAGATGATATATTTGCTAATCATAGAATAAGTTCAGATCATAATTATAAATAGGATTTCTCTGAAGCAATCAATCTGTATTTTTAAAGCTTCTCCTTAAGACCTCCAGTATCTAGTCATGAAAGTAGCTTGGATTTATTTATTTATTGAGACAAGGTCTTGCTCTGTCACTCAGGCTGGAGTGCAGTGACACAATCACGGTTCACTGCAGCCTCAATCTCCTGGGCTCAAGCAATCCTCTGGCTTCAGATTCCCAAGTGACTAGGACTACAGGTACGTGTCACCATGGCTGGCTAATTTTTAAAATTTTTGTAGAGACTGGGTCTTACTATGTTGCCCAGGCTGGGCATGGATTTATTAATGGCCTTTGAATTAACTAAATAATTAATGAATGTGGGCTTAGTCTCCAAGCATGCAAATCTCTAAATGGGATATACTTGTGATCTTCAACTTGGCCTTGGATAGCTGTGTGACTGATTTAACCTTTGACTCAGTCTTTTGCAGTGCCGAAGTCATTGTTTATGAATAATTTCATTTCTTGTGGATCCTATGGTTGCTACTAACTCTTAGGAAAAATAGTAGGCTCTGGAGAAGAAGTAAAAACCCTATAAATACGTAAAGCTAGGAAGGAAAAGGAAAAGCAAGGATGTTAAATCAATCTGACTTGGAGGAACAGATCTGTGTTTTTCTCTTAAGAATTGTCACACAGTTTCACGTGCTCTCTGCTTCAGGCCAAGGGCACGTCAGCAAGGCTTTCTTGCACTGCACCAGGGACACTGACCTGAAACCCTGGATTTCACCTAGATCATGAGAGGTCTTAGAAACCTTTTAGGCCAACCCACTTATTTAACAAGTAAGGAACCTGATGTTCAGATTTTAGAAGACATCCCAGGACAGAGAGCCTGCTTAGTTGTGGCAATGTGATTTAGTCCTGAACATTGAGTGCTCAGTCACTGTCTTAGTGACAGTATTATTGTGCTTGAGCCAAAAAGGCAGAAAAGGAAATTTGTTCACTCAAGAACACATGAGACTTTCATCAATGGCACATCTATGTTAGCAACACTTGGGATGGTAATTCAAAGCCATTTATATTTTTCTGTTTGTGTGCAAAGTTCCAATGTACATGCATTGTTCTCTTCAGGTTTAGGCATGTAAGCCAAAGACATTCAAAAATGTATCAATATGTTTTGGTATGAAGAGTCTCAAATCACAGCGTGGCAGATTTATCCCCAAATTACAGCCAGACTCAATTTCTTATCGGGCAAAGTAAGTCACACTATTCACAACAGCTCTGTGTTGATTCAATTAAACAATACGTAAACATTCACTGAACATTTGCTGGTTGACCCTTAGAGCATTTTGTTGTGCCCTTTCTGGCTTCTTCTCATCTATCTGTCTATCTGTCTGTCTATCTATCTATCTATCTATCTCCCTACAAGGCAAATGTTACTTTCTAATCAATACATTTTTCCTTGAAAAATGAAAACTTAAAAAAAAAAATAAAACTAGAGGAAGGCACTTTGTAAAATGTGCACAAATCTGTTTCTTTCTTGTCTACTCTAAGGAGATAGGGAAGTTGCTAAAGGCAGGGCCAAGTCTTTCTGCAAATGATGGGCAGTGGTGGACACTTGAGGAAGGAGAAAGCCAGAGTTTCCCCAGAGCCAAACTGCTTCTTGGAATGCAGGGGCCTCTGGTTGCTCAATAACTCACAGGCTTTTCACATTCAGCTGGGTCATCACAAGACACACAGCAAAACCGCCCAGATCTTGTGTAGGCAGTAGAGGATTGACCCCTTCAGATCAAGCCAGTTAAAGTGAGTCTTTTGTACTTAAGTGACTACCAGGATTGGTCTTAGGCACTTAGGAAAATGTAGAGTCTGTTAAATAGCTAATAAATGTAGGATCTGTTAAATATCTGACACAGCGGATACTAACTTGTGCTTATACACATCTGTTAGAACGAATCGGAACCTTTTGCTGTTTGGGTTGTAAGCTACACAAATCACCCATTGCCTAGATTCAGTTTCCATGCGCCTTAAAACTTGAATATTTAGGTATTTGTTTATAAAAATACAACTTACTATAACTCAGAGTGTAAGGACCCATGAGCCAACTGCGCAACGGTTGTTAATAATCTAGGAAGGTGCGAGGAAAAAAACTAACAGCCAGATATAAGAAAACAGATTTGGGGCTGTTGGATTCAGCAAGGAATGAGCATGGCTTGATTCAGTGAAAGATCATTTTTCTAAAGATTAGTGCCTCCTTCAATATGTCTCTTTTCAATCTCCTGCCTCTTTTTTTAATGCCTCTTTCTACACATATATTTGCACATAATCTTAGAATATGATTCTGTATACATATCACTTATAAAATGCACATGCAATATATTAAGACTAACTGGAACTGACGGTTTAAAAAGCAAAGTATAAAGAGCACATCACTAAAGATTACTTTGTATTTCTATGACGAAGAGCAATTTTTTGTTAGATTAAGATAGAAGGCATTGGTTGGAATTATTTTTGCAGAAAAATATTCAGTGAGTCATGGAATCCAGGAGTCAGTTTCAAAGGACCTTAGAGGTTATCTGGTCCAACATCTTCAGAGGAAACTGAGGCTTAGAGAGGGGAATTAATCTCTCCAAGGCAAAGCAGTTAGGACCAGAATCCAGGTCTCTTGACTGTCCCCCGCCCCACATGTATCCTTCCATTTGAACAGCTGTGTCCTTGATAGACCACAAAAAAACCTTTTTGTTAGACCACAAAAAAGCTTAATTCAGATAAACAGTGCCAACTGATCACAGAATTAAAGTCTTGGTTTGATGAGTGGCTAATTGGTGTTTTTTAGGGATTTAATTCAAGTCCTTAGCTGTCACAGTTTTTAATATGTATTATAAAAAATTATCTGTCAAAAGCAGATTACTTTTATGTTTAGGTTTTCAGACTTTAAGAGTGACTGATACATATCTTCTCTATTCTTAGAGAAGAATAGACTATGTTAGGAAAGGTTTAGTCTGCATTGGCTTTGAGGGTGACTGTCTTTGGTTAATGCCTCTCAAGGTAGACTATATTCCTTGGCCTTTCAGAAGTTGTGCATCCTTTTGCAGGTCATTCTTTTATGTGAATTCACATAAGATTCAGCATAATGGGAATCTTAAACTACTGATATGCTTCTTTTTTTGTCTTCTTACCTGCAGTGTTGTTCATTGCAAGTCAAACAGACTTGATCTGTCCTTTCCAAAAGAAGATTGTTACTATGCACTAAAATAGTGGAAATGGTTGTCTAGAACAGTGCTTCTCAAACTTCAGTGTGCACTTGAATCATTTGGGGATCTTAGTAAAATGCAGATTCTGATGCTTTAGGTTAGAGATAAGGCCTAAGATTCTGCAAACAGAATTTTCAAACACTGCCCAAGTGATGCCTATGCAGTTGGTTCTCAGACTGTTTAAGTATTGAGGATTTAGGGGACTGAATGAGCTTGGACAACTTTCCCACATGCTTCCCTTACTCACATGATATTTTTCATATGTTAGGAAAATGGAGCTTCATATCTATTGCTTTTGACATTCTCAAAACATTGGCAATGTGTTCACTTTCAAACGGGGCCAGGGGGAGACCTCTGAGTCCAGTTGCTATCAATATGAGCTAGTTGGGAATATTTGACTCCCAGAGGTGAGCTCGAGTTCTCTATGTCCAGCTAGTAAATGGACACATAGAATAGATTTACCATCAAGTGAAGGGAAAAATAGAGGGAGGGTGTTAGATGAGTCATGGATGCACCCTTTAAAATGAAGATCCAAGCTTTGACTTCTTTCAGGAAGCCTGGCATTGGAACTGACTGGGAGATTCTCACTACCACACTCTGACCTTTGGAGCTATTTCCATTGCTATACAAATACCTAGTTTCCCAGAACTTTTATTTGGACACTTCTGATATGAGCTGTTTCTGCCTCTGCCAAGATTTTGCAGTTGAATTTACTTCAGAGAACCACTAACTCCTGGCTTTGCTTAAAATTTTTTTGTGGCTCAAGATTTCTCACAAAAACAAAACCTCTCTCTTTAAAACAGCTGTTAGAAATCGTCGCTCTCCCTTTTTATGGTAGCTTTAGGAAGATTCACCCATTGATGAACAGGAGTCCCAGAGGAGCCTGAAACTCAAAGGAGAAATAATTTCTGGTTTGTGGAGAATCCTAAATCCCTAGGTTGGTGGTGGTGGTAGTTGTCGTTTAAAGTGTCCTGGAGATAAAAAGAATCAGATAAACCATACTACATTGTGTTGGAAACTGAATTTTGTCATTCACTTCATATTTCACAGTGGGCTTTGGGTTGGTATGGCATTTTACTCCACAAATGGGAACTGCATATACTACTATGTACTGTAAATACACATTATAACCTCGCAGCAGAAAATACTTTACCCACTGAATACGTAAACAGCTGTACTGGGAAGATAGAAAATAGTCTTTTATTTTACCTAAGTTATAGAAAAATAGTCTTCAAAAATACATTGTTAAACTTATGGGTTTGTATTAAAGTAGAATTTGTATGTACAGTAAGGCAGTAATTCCATTAGCATCCTGCTGTGGTTTTCTTTTAAAGTTAGTCTTTAGGGTATTTTTTTTTTAACTAAGAAAAGACTAAGGTGTATAATAAATTACCTATTATGCTGAAATGAAGCAGGAAAACATCCTAAAAGGATTCACATGAAATTCATCTGTCCCTTGTGTAAGAAAATTTTAATTTCCAAACTATATTCTATAGAGGCTTTAAAATAGAATTTAGGGGGAAAAATCCATGCTTAACATATCTAAACTATTTTAAGAAAAAAATGGAGGCATTATTTCTTACTTGCATATCAGCAATGTGTCAGTAAGGTATAGGAACTGATGTAAACAATTTGTTCTGGAATGCATTCTTTCTTTAAATGGTTATATTTGGGTAATCCTAATAAAATGGAGGAGGAGTGTAAAGGTTATGCAATTGTTTTTCAAAAGCAATTTTCATGGCATTTTCCTATGTGGAAAATTTTCCTTTGTCATCTTTCTATGGTAAACAATTTTGACAATTTCATTTCCGTCTGTCCCATGCCAAATCACGAAAGCCTTTTCCAGAGGATACTTCTATTGGCATTGTCCCTCAAGAATACTAAGCAGTGTGCTTTTATTTCATTGAACACATAATTTTATAACTAATAGCAAAAAGTAAATCTACAAATCACAGTTAGGAAACATAATGATTTGTTCTGGAATCAGCTGCTGGAGAAAGAGGCAAGTGGTTAAAAATGGAGCATGAAAGGAGCTGGGAGCTTTAGTAGTGTCAGTCTGACTATATTCTTCAGCATTTCATGTACTCCGTAGTGTTACCTGAAGAAAAATCACATTTTAACCAATCATTCCATTAGTCAAGCTATCAATGAAAGGAGTGCGTAAAACATGCGGGATCCAGGTAATCCAAACCACCCAGCTGGATCCTGCACTTGCTTGGTGTCGCAGTGAAGTTGGCCAGGTCTTTCTCAGCTTGATTCTGTTCAAGTGATGGTGGGGCCTCTTTGGCTGATTCTTCAAAGCAAGCCACATTTTTAGCATGCGGATCCGGCACCAACACCAGGATGTTGTTATCCATGACCCCGGACACTTTGGCATACTCCTTACTGTTCTCAGGAGCCCTGGGCTTCTCGGGCTGGCTGCTGTTCTCTCTCTGTTTCGGTAGCAATGATAATGCGCCATCGTTGTTGACCTTGTGAATCTCCACATAATCCAAGGGTTTAGCGGAGCCAAAGGGGGTTTTCTCCTGGGGCAGCAGCCAGGGCGTATCTTGGTCAGTCTTGGAATGGAAGCTATCCACCTCCCTCTGCTGGGCTGCCTTTCCCTCCTCTCTAGACTTAATGGTTTGAGAGGATTTTAAAGCATCTTTACCTGCTTCGTCCAACAGAGTGGCCGGTGCAACTGCAGGGCCCACAGCCAGCTCACACACATCAGTAATATTGTGGTAGGAGGATCTGGGGTTGTGCTGTATTAAGGGCCATGTTGAACATTTGGATCCGCCAGCATGAAAATAGGGGATTTTGCCTTCTATGCTTATGCACTGGGGGTCCCAGGTGTGAGTTGTTTCAGGATTCTCTGGCTTCTCAATGACCTCAGGATCATAGAATGTGGAGGGATTGGCCTGGGGTTCCTCACACTTTTCAGACAAAAGGGAAGGGCTGTCGCAGCTCCCCCGGCCTGAGTCAGTGTCAGGATCCAGGTATGTGGGTTTCATACCTTGACTTGGGTGTTCTTTTGAATGGACTGACATTAGATGCTGGTCCTCACTGTCGTCTACTTCTAAATACTCCACCAGCAAGTCCTCATAGTCAGAAGTGGGAGGAAAGTCTTGGCATCCCAAGGCACTCAGTAGTTCTTCAGACTTGCCCTTCTATTAAAACACGGACACAAGAAGAGATGGCTGTTAGCTTCATAGCATTCCAAATCAGCATCCCTGCTAAGTGGTATCTTTTCATTGCCACGAGCAGGTGGGAAGATCTCAAACTTCAGACATTTGTGTGCCAGGCCATCCAGAATCACCTTCTGGATACTATTCAGCAGATATATATATATATATATAAACTCAGGATATTTAACTCAGTCTCTCTCCAAGCAATAATAATCATGAGTTTAATGCGCAAGTAGTATATACACATACAATAATAAACAGATAACTGTAAAATGAAGGTTTGTGAAACTTCTAAACCCACAGTGCTCATGCATGCATCTGACACTGTGGCCCACTGGCAGGGGTGTGGTTGCTGGCCTCCTAACTTCCTCTATCACCTTTTAGAATCTGGCAATAGTAAGTGGATTCTTGTCTTTTCCTTCTGTGGTTCCTCTTCCTTCTCTCCTTCCTCTTCTTATTTCCCCTTCCCTTCTCCTCTCTCTTCCTAACCTACTGTTTTCTTCTACTCTACTTCCTCTCCCTCCTTCTCTTCTCCTCCTTCTTTGCCCTATTCCACATTCCCCGCTCTTCCTATTCTTCTCCCTCCTATCCTTCTTCTCCCCCTCCTTCTCTTCTCCTCCTCCTTTGCCCTATTCCATATTCCCCCCTCTTCCTATTCTTCTCCCTCCTATCCTTCTTCTCCCCCTCCTATTTCCTCCTACCTCCTCCTCTCACTCTCGCCTATTTTTTCTTATCCTCTGACTTGGGTCAGGTACTGACCTAGGTCTTGGCTTGATCACTTATTACAGGGTATGTGACTTTGGACAAGCTACTCTCTGAACCTCAGCTTCTCCATTTTTAAAAGGTAGAAAATAATATGAATACTACCCATCTTGTGGGGGTGGTGGTTCTTTTGAGGATTAGAGGTAATATCATTGAGAATGCTAATATGTATTTTTGAGACAAAAGTAGCTATTTTATCATTAAGTCTCTGTGGCTAGCAGGTTAAATTGTGAGCTGGACAGTAACTAATTTAGTTTGCTGAGACATTCATGCTGGTTCTATCAGGTCAATGCTACACTGGATAGTGGAGGAAGAGCACTGGGTTAGGATCCCGGACTCCTGGGCTCTAGTCCCTGCTTCAATATTTGCAACCAAAGTGAACACAGACAAGCTAGATTATCCAGGACTCACTTCTATTTTTACACTGTCAGACCCAGAGCAGCTGGGTCAAGTGGTATTTGCCTTAATGTACAGCTAGTTCCCTTTATATACGTCAGTGTTAAGCTTAAAAGTCAAACTGAAACTATTTCAACTTGGAGAAAAATTTAAAAATGTTCTAACCCCTCTTTTCATTCAAAACACTCACCACTTAATTCCCTCTTGAATCAGCCCAATTGGTCCCTGGCAAACACATGGCCCCACTGTACTGATCTGGTCTCAACTGAGTGCCCAAAGTGAGAGATAATGGCAATAGGATAGTCTGTTACTATGACTTTATGTAAAGAACATTCAAGTAGAAGTTTCTACCGATGTATGATTGAGGGGCTGGTGGTGGGTCCCTGTTTTGCATTAATCAAAATATTCACTCTCTTTCTAAGTTGATTATTTGTACAAATGTTTATCTCTGTGCTTATGAGTAGATCTGATAAATCAACAAATGTGTTTCCATGTTTTCTTGACTTTCTCTCTTTGCCCTCTAACATTTAGTGTGTGAAAGTGCAGTGAGCTGAGATCCGGCCACTGCACTCCAGCCCGGGCTACAGAGCAAGACTCCGTCTCAAAAAAAAAAAAAAAAAAAAAAAAAAGAAAGTAAGTACCTTCATCCTTCACACATCTTTCTGTTAACACACATGCTGACCAGGAGAGAGAGCCTAAAAAGGCTAGCTGAAACTACCAGGCTGAACTGACAGGGACTGTGTGTGAGTGTGTGGAGTTAATTACTACAAAGCACTGAATCACATTGCATTTTTTGCCTCCTGTACTTACCTCCAACAGATGAGCATCAAATCCTTTTATTTTTGGCCCAGGAACTGGCGGAAAGATGCAGGTCACCATGCTATAAAATAATTCATGAGATTGGCTAAATGACTCATTTCTGACTCTGTAATTTTTGAAGGGTTAGTATAGTAGCCACTATATACACTGTGGTAGAGATAGGACTTAGAGTTTGGCAGCTCCATGAAACAATCAATGATGAAAATAAAATTACAGAGGCCTATATTAAAATTAACTCTAGCTAATTAAGGAGGCTGATTTTGAAGTTAGTGGATTATTTGGACTATTTGCTTCTCTTGAGTTTAGCTACTCTTGCCAGATTTTTACTGTTTCACAACTATGAATCTCTGTTTCATAGAAAGAACATCAGCCTGAAATGAGTCAATTTTTCTTCTTTTTATAGCACTGATAAAAGATTTTTTTTACGGGCAAACACACTACATCTAATGGGTAAAGTGAGGGTTACCTATAGGTGTCCATCATCTTTGTATTATCTTTTTTGTCATTATCCCTGACTATCATGATTGGGAGGAAAAGTTGAGAGACAGTGAAGTACCTATAGCCCTTCAAAGCCACTGCCCAGACAATAATCAAACAGATGACAGCAGAAAGGACAGCCACAGAGATCCACACGGTTGTATCATTCATGATGAAGTCTAAAAAACAAACAGCCAGAAAGCTCTGATCATGTACAGCATCATTAAAAACAAACAAACCTAATGAATGAAACTCTTAAATGTTTATAAGGAGGATATATATATATTTTTTGAACAGCAATCCAAAGTATCATCAATGACAGGGCTATTTTCTTTTCAATATTATTAATATTTTAATATGTTGCATATGCTTTATAGTACTCTAAAAATTTAAAAATCCTTCCACATATTCTTTTTAATTGATCTTTAAAGAGGAAATCCAAGGTCACATGGTCATTTGCAGTAACAATAATAAAAGCTAACATTAACTAAGTTCTTACTAAAAGCCATCAATGGTGTTAACCTCTTTACCTACATTACTTTGTTATAAAAGATAAGAAAACTGGGAATCAAAGAAAGATTTACCAATGAACATATAACTATAGTGTTGCAGGCTGGCATTTGAACTCAGGCTTTCTGCCTCTAGACCCTGTGCTTTTGTTAAGAAAGAGTCAGGACTGGTCAGACTAGATGCATGCCTGATTTGCAGTTCAGTACCCTTTCCAGTACGCCAAGCCAATGAAAGCCCAATACTTTGGTCAGGCAAGTTGTTAGAAGAGCTAGACTTTCCTGCGTGGTTCTGGAAAAGACCCCTAACTTCGCTAAGGTTTGGTTTCTTCACTTTTAATTCTTAATGATAATCATATCTTCTGAATACCTGGGAGGGTTGGGAGGACCAAATAAGGTACAGGTGTTGTACGCTGTAAAACATTTTAAAAATGCAAGTTGAATTGTTCCCTTATAGAAGACAAGCTACTGAATTAAGGTGCTTTGCTGGAGCTGTCTATCTTATATCCTGTGTCTTCATGAAGAGACTGAAATGTAATCCATAGCAGAGACTGAGCACTGGTTTATGTCTTTGAGACAGGGTACTGCCTTAAAAATTCTGGAAGAACTAGAGGACGACCTTGACCAAATCATCTAAATGATAGGAATGGGGCAGACGGTGGGAGCAGAATAACTGACCATCAAGCCCCTTGAGGCACCAGGCCCATGTCTATTGCCTTATCCTAGAACTCTTCTCCACTGACAGTAATCCAGGGAGCAATGCTGCTCTTCAAAATGTCTTTGTATTGGGCAGAAAGATTATAAACCCACCTCTATTGCTCTGGCTAGGGCTCACAGTGGTTTCTCTATTAGTAGTTATTATATGCAAACATACCATTTAAAACATATTTAGGGACATAAGCAAAAAAGAGCCAAGACACTCACCACTAGGTATCTGAATGAAGGTCGCTGGACTCCATGCACTCCAGTATCCATGATCTGGTTTGCAGCGAACCTGGACAAGGTATTTCTGTCCTGGATGTAGGCTGAGAATCTTAAACTCTGTTTGCTGCCCAGCAAAATGGGTCTAAGGTAGGATAAGGAAAACAGAAGTCACTTCTGACATTTGTTGTGAAGAAAGAGAGTTTTCCCCTAAAAAATAAACTACGGTGGAGTTAGGCTGAACAACCATACACAAAGAATTCCCTGCTGTCACTGCTCCACTGTCTTATCCCTATCTCTTCCTCCTCTTAAAATTGCTCACACAAAAATTTAGCAGGTTTTCTATCTCTCCATTTGGGACTCTACTTCAGAAAAGTCAAATATTCTGCCTCCTTCCCACTTTATGAAAAACAACTACTTAATAAATGTAGAAAGAATAACAAAATTGGCCAGGCACGGTGGCTCATGCCTGTAATCCCAGCACTTTGGGAGGCCGAAGTGGGCGGATCATCTGAGGTCAGGAGTTCGAGATCAGCCTGACCAACATGGAGAAATCCCGTCTCGACTGAAAATACCAATTAGCTGGGCATGGTGGTGCATGCCTGTAATTCCAGCTACTCGGGAGGCTGAGGAAGGAGAATTCCTTGAACCTGGGAGGCGGATGCTGCAGTGAGGCGAGATAGTGCCATTGCACTCCAGCTGAGTGACAAAGCGAAACTCCATCTCAAAAGAACAAAACAAAGCAAAATTCAAGAATTGTTAGCTTTTAAATCCTAGTGAAATAACTAATTCAATAATAAATTGGTGTTAAAGACATGAGGTGAAAGAGAATTGGGCATTCATGTATGGTAAAGTAGTAGTATACAAATTAAACATGACGTTACAATCCAGGGATCAGTGTCATCTCCTCAATTCAGGGGCCAGTTTTAGCATCACTTCTGGTGGGTCAACCAGATGGTTTTGACATCTGATTTAATACAATATGGAGTACCTAATATCACCTCTGAATTTACCAATCATTGGTAAAAACTGTTCAGCCTACATCTAATTAAGTCTGGTTACAGGAAATGGAGGCATAGAGAAATTAGCTAAATGACCCCACAAAGAACTGATCAGAGAAATGTACAAGGTGGGATACTCTATGGGACAAGTGGCCCAGTCTCCTCATTACACTGAAACTGAAGGGATATAACAAGCAGTTACAGTGTGTGATCCAGGAGCAGATTCTGGTTTGGCCAAAGTGGCTGTTAAAGATATTTGGAAATATTGGGAGGAATTAAACTAGGGACTGGGTATTAAATGATATTAAGGAATTTTAATTTTCTTATATGTGATCCTATTATTTTGGCTATGTTTGGAAATGTAGCCTTTTTAAAAGAGGCATATACTAAAGTATGTAAAGATAGACTATTGTACTGCCTGCAATTTACTTATTATTTCTTTAGGTCGAAGTATTCTACTTTTATTTTAAATTTTATTTATTTATTTTTTGAGACAGAGTTGCTCTTGTCACCTAGGCTGGAGTGCAATGGCATGACCTTGGCTCACTGAAATCTCTGCTTCCCAGGTTCAAGCGATTCTCCTGCCTCAGCCTTCCGAGTAGCTGGGATCACAGGCGTCCGCCACCTTGCGCGGCTAATTGTTTTGTATTTCCAGTAGAGATGGGGTTTTGCCATGTTGGTCAGGCTGGTCTCAAACTCCTGACCTCAAGTGATCCACCTGCCTCAGCCTCCCAAAGTGCTGGGATTACAGGTGTGAGCCCCTGCGCCCAGCCTATTTATTTATTTATTTATTTATTTATTTATTTATTTCAGATGGAGTTTCGCTCTTGTTGCCCAGGCTGGAGTGCAATGGTGCCATCTCGGCTCACTGAAACCTCCGCCTCCTGAGTTCAAGAGATTCTCCTGCCTCAGCCTCCTGAGTAGCTGGGATTACAGGCGCCTGCCACCACACCTGGCTAATTTTTTGTATTTTTAGTAGAGATGGGGTTTCTCCATGTTGATCAGGCTGGTCTCAAACTCCTGACCTTAGGTGATCCACCTGTCTCGGCCTCCCAAAGTGCTGGGATTAACAGGTGTGAGCCACTGCACCCGGCCTGGTTGAAGTATTTTAAAGTGAATAAAAACATTTACTATGGTTTTGTGCCATTGACTATGGAGGATATACTGAGATGTCCCCTCCAACCTGGTGCCATTTAAGTACTCTTATGAGGGTCTAGGTCTAAAATGTACTAAGCGAGGCAGGTTGGAAACCTTGCCAAGTGCCTGTGCAGTGCAAGAAACTAGCCCAAGGAAAGCTGTGAAGATGAGCCCCTATCAATCCCAATAGAGGTGAGAAGGGCTATCTGGGTGGGTCATAACTGCATTGGAGGCCAATACAGTGACACAATAATTAGGAGGAATGACCTGTTTTCAGCTGTGAGGGCTTTATCCTTGCCAAAGGCCATAGTTACTTCAAAAAGCATATGGATCACTCACCTCCCACTCAGCTGCTTTCTCGGGTTTTAATCGAATTTCATACAGGAGCGTGAACCAACCAGTTTTTAAGTCAATCAGGGTAGGTGGAGACCATTTCATCCACAGGTAGGGTTTTCTGTCTTCTGGCTGTTTTACTTCCACAGTCAGCTCCAAAGGAGGGTCTGGTTGAACTGCAGAAATACAGCAAACTCCAGTAGCACTCATTGCTTGCACCTTTTCTTTGGCTTTACCATTTTCTATTAGGAATTCCATTTTCTGTTTATCATCTCACTCTTCTCACTGTACTATAAGCCCCCCAAATACCAGGGCCTTTTGTCTTCTACCTCTTAGTATGTGACGAATCATACTTGTGCATACAGATGAGGTTTAGATGGTAAGAATAATAAGCAGCTGGGATTTCATTCTCTGCATGTTCTTGCTTTTCATCAGTTAGAGTCTCATAGCTATCCCCATAATTTTCACAATGACAGAGACCAGGTGATAAAAATTGGGCTGGGATTTGCAAGTATGAGTTGGCATGGAAGACTATAGGGAAAAGATTTCAAACAGTTTATTTCCCTCAGCTGGCAGTGAGATTCTTCTTAGTGACACACAGTTTTTTGTGAATGAGCTATTCATAATCATAACTCTGCAGATAACAGGTTTACAGATTCCATCTTCACTTCAGCAATTACATCTTATATTCAACATACATATTACACCCTGTGGTAAATGAGATCCACTCTCCCATATGCTAAATGGAGGTTGAGCTTTTTGGCAATGATCCTTTTGGTGATCTCATAACAGCCTGTTGGCCCAGTCACTCATTCAACAAATGCTTAGCAAACTCCCATTAGCAAAATGATAGCTAATGTTTCTCTAGTATTTACTACATGCCAGGGACTGTATAAAATACTACCTCTGCATCATTTCTTACAATCCTCCAGCAACTCCATGAAGTACTATCACTGTACCCATTAATTTTACAGAGGAGGAAACAAGCTTAGAAGAGGGAAATTACTCACCAAAGGTCACATATTTGGTAAAAGTGTTATTTGAACCCATAACTATGTGATTTAGGGAAGTGGCCTCTACTATTTAACTCTACCATGGTTGTAAGACATTGCATTTGATGTCAGGTGCTGGAGAGCAGGCCTGGGATTAGGTTGAAGTGAGTGAAGTGCATTGGATACAAAATTCAAGGAGGGACAAATGGCCAAGAAGCATCTGAAAAGATGCTTAAGGTCATTAGCCTTCTGGGGAATGCAAATCAAAACCTCAGTGAGATACCATTTCACATGTGCCAGCATGGCAAGAACTCAAAAAATGGAACATAACAAATGTTGGTGAGGATATGGAGAGATTGGAACCCTCAATATTGCTGGTGGGAATGTAAACCGGTGCAACCACTGTGGAAAACAGTCTGGAAGTTCCTCAAAAAAATCAGACTTAGAGTTGCCATATTGCCCATCAATTCCACTCCTAGATATGGACTCAAAATGATTGAAAACGGATGTTTAAGAAAATCTTGTATGTGAATTTTCATAGCAGCACTATTTATAATAGCCAAAATGAAGAAATCCAAATGTCCATCAGTTGATGAATGGATAAAAAATGTGGTAGAGGTCAGGCACGGTGGCTCATGACTGTAATCCCAGCACTTTGGGAGGCTGAGGCAGGTGGATCACCGGAGGTCAGGAATTTGAGACCAGCCTGGCCAATGTGGTGAAACCCCATTACTAACAAAATACAAAAAATTAGCCAAGCATGGTGGTGTGCACCTGTACTTCCAGCTACTTGGGAGGCTGAGGCGGGAGAATCACTTGAATCTGGGAGGCAGAGGTTGTGGTGAGCCAAGATTGTGCCATTGCACTCCATCCTGGGTGACAAAAGTGAAACTCCATCTCAAAAAAAAAAAAAGTGGAACAGCTACATATTTTATGATTCCATATATATATATATATATACATATATATACATATATATATATATATATATATATATATATATATATGAAATATCCAGATGAGGCAAACTCCCAGAAACAGACAGCAGATTAGTGGCTGCCAGGGGTTGAGGAAGGGAGAAATGAGAAGTAACTGCTTAGTAGTGGATGTGAAGTTTTCATTGAAGGAGACAAACGTGTTACAGAACTAGATAGTGGTGATGGTTGTAGAACATTGTAATAAACTAATGCATTCAATTGCATACTATAAAATAGTTGAAATGGTGGATTTGTGTTTTGTGTTTTTACCACAATAAAAACAAATGAAGTGGCTCCCTGCTGGCAAGAATTTTTAAAAAAATGAAGGAAGCATTTACTTCTGTAGGCTCCTGTAGGTACAGGCCTTGTGAATACCTTCCTGAGACTCAGGTGCTGGGTGCTGGCTTGCCTCACCCCAGTCTCAGTTCTGCTGGTCAGTGACATTTTCTCCATTCATTTATCACCTCCTTAAATCAATCTCTGTACCAGATGGGGAAAGAGCGGCTGTAACTATAGTGTACTTTGCATTATGAGCTACATTTGCCTAAAAACCAACTTTTAAAAATTTGTGATCCGTGATTCAGTTCCAAGATGGCTGAATAGGAACAGCTCCAGTCTACAGATTCCAGCATGAGTGACACAGAAGATGGGTGATTTCTGCATTTCCAACTGAGGTACCAGGTTCATCTCACTGGGGCTTGTTGGACAGTGGGTGAGCCAAAGCAGGGCGGGGCGTTGTCTCACCCAGGAAGTGCAAGTGTTTGGGGAATTCTCTTTCCTAGCCAAGGGAAGCCATGACAGATGGTACCTGGAAAATTGGGACACTCCCACCCTAATACTGCACTTTTCCAATGGTCTTAGCAAACAGCACACCAGGGGATTATATCCTGTGCCTGGCTTGGAGAGCCCCATACCCATGGAACCTCGCTCACTGCTAGCACAGCAGTCTGAGATCAAACTACAAGGCAGCAGGGAGGCTGGGGAAGGGGCATCCACCATTGCTGAGGCTTGACTAGGTAAAAAAGCAGCCAGGAAGCTTGAACTGGGTGGAGCCCACCACAGCTCAAAGAGGTCTGCCTGCCTCTGTAGACTCCACCTATGGGGGCAGGGCATAGCTGAACAAAAGGCAGCAGAAACTTCTGCAGACTTAAACGTTCCTGTCTGATAGCTTTGAAGAGAGTAGTGGTTCTCCCAGCATGGAGTTTGAGATCTGAGAACAGACAGACTGCCTCCTCAAGTGGGTCCCTGACCCCTGAGTAGCCTAACTGGGAGACACCTCCCAGTAGGGGCTGACTGACACCTCATACACCCGGGTGCCTCTCTGAGACGAAGCTTCCAGAGGAAGGATCAGGCAGCAACATTTTCTGTTCTGCAATATTTGCTGTTCTTCAGCCTCCACTGGTGGTCCCAAGGCAAACAGGGTCTGGAGTGGAACTCAAGCACACTCTAACAGACCTGCAGCTGAGGGCCCTGACTGTTAGAAGGAAAACTATCAAACAGAAAGGATATCCACACCAAAACCCCATCTGTATGTCACCATCATCAAAGACCAAAGGTAGATAAAACCACAAAGATGGGGAGAAACCATAGCAGAAAAGCTGAAAATTCTAAAAATCAGAGAGCCTCTTCTCCTCCAAAGTAATACAGCTTCTCGCCAGCAATGGAAGAAAGCTGGACGGAGAATGACTTTGACAAGTTGAGAGAAGAAGGCTTCAGACAATTGGTAATAACAAACTTCTCTGAGCTAAAGGAGGATGTTTGAACTCATCACAAAGATGCTAAAAACCTTGAAAAAAGATCAGATGAATGGCTAACTAGAATAAACAGCACAGAGACGACTTTAAATGACCTGATGGAGCTGAAAACCATGGCATGAGAACTATGTGATGCATGCACAAGATTCAGTAGCTGATTCAATCAAGTGGAAGAAAGAGTATCAGAGATTGAAGATCAAATGAATGAAATGAAACGAGAAGAGAAGTTTAGAGAAAAAAGAGTAAAAAGAAATAAAAAAAGCCTCCAAGAAATATGGGACAATGTGAAAAGACCAAATCTATGTCTGATTGGTGTACCTGAAAGTGACGGGGAGAATGGAACCAAGTTGGAAAACACTCTTCAGGATATTATCCAGGAGAACTTCCCCAACCTAGCAAGGCAAGCCAACATTCAAATTCAGGAAATATAGAGAATGCCACAAAGATACTTCTCGAGAAGAGCCCCTCCAAGACACATAATTATCAGATTCACCAAAGGTGAAATGAAGGAAAAAATATTAAGGGTAGCCAGAGAGAAAGGTTGGGTTACCCACAAGGGGAAGCCCATCAGATTAACAGTGGATCTCTTGGCAGAAACTCTACAAGCCAGAAGAGATTGGGGGCCAATATTAAACATTCTTAAAGAAAATAATTTTCAACCCAGAATTTCATATCCAGTCAAACTAAGCTTCACAAGTGAAGGAGAAATAAAATCCTTTACAAACAAGCAAATGCTTTGAGATTTTGTCACCACCAGGCCTGCCTTACAAGAACTCCTGAAGGAAACACTAAACACGGAAAGGAACAACTGGTACCAGCCACTGCAAAAATATGCCAATTTGTAAAGACCATCGATGCTAGGAAGAAATTGCATCAACTAACGAGCAAAATAACCAGCTGACATCATAATGACAGGATCAAATTCACACACAACAATATTAATCTTAAATGTAAATGGGCTAAATTCTCCAATTAAAAGACACAGACTGGCAAATTGGATAGAGTCAAGACCCATCAGTGTGCTGTATTCAGGAGACACATCTCACATGCAGACACACACATAGGCTCAAAATAAAGGGATGGAAGAAGATCTACCAAGCAAATGGAAAACAAACAAACAAAAAAAGCAGGGCTTGCAACCCTAGTCTCTGATAAAACAGACTTTAAACCAACAAAGATCAAAAGAGACAAAGAAGGCCATTACATAATGGTAAAGGGATCAATTCACCAAGAAGAGCTAACTATCCTAAATATATATGCACTCAATACAGGAGCACCCAGATTCATAAAGCAAGTCCTTAGAGACTTACAAAGAGACTGTGACTCCCACATAATAATAAGGGGAGACTTTAACACCGCACTGTCAACATTAGACAGATCAACAAGACAGAAAGTTAACAAGGATATCCAGGACTTGAACTCAGCTCTGCACCAAGCGGATCATACGCAAATC